ATGGGGCCATTTTTACCGGGGCCATTTTTTCCGGGGCCTTTATTTCCGGGGCCATTTTTTCCGGGGCCATTCTTACCGTACACCGCTTATAATGATGGGATGGCGAAGCCTACCATGTTACGCTAGTTTCCAGCGTAGGTGCTGTTTCATACTTGAACACATAAGTGTTGTTTCCAATCGGATTCTACTTCACATCAAATAATATGAAACTCATTGGTTTTCATTTGTTCTCATAGAAGTTTTGTTAATTATATTTGTTATATATTTTAAACAATTATTAGGCCTATATGTACGATGTTTTATTCAAATAACTTTCTATATAATGTTGTGACTTTTAATGTTTTTTAATGTACTGTAAATATCTTGTAATTCATCCTTGGCTGCGTATATGATATTAATAAAATAAACTTGAAGCTTAAATGACAAAGCCATGATGATGATGATGGTGATTATAAATATATGTTATGGTATTAACGTACGTATAAGATTGTATTCGATATTTGCCATCGAGTAGTACAATTGAATTGACACCGGGCCTACCTTATTTCGGTGACTGTAGTATTATAGCTATGTATAGCTTCCCCGATATCTCTCTTTAATGCATCAATAGTCTAAACATGATAATGAAGATGCTAATGAAGCATAAATGTGTAATTAGAAATGATATAAAGACGAATGTATTTCCAAATATTAGGCCTATAAAATATTAAAACACCCACAGCGGACAGCCGTAACCAAAGGGGGTCAAAAATAATATACAGGCAGTACCGTAAAGTAAAAATAGTGGTTGGTCAGAAGTGAACACACAGTAAGGCCTAACCTTAGCAGACATCCTCTCCATTTTCCATATGGGCGGATACAGGAGGTAAGATTTTGAAGGTATGAAAGTGAAAATTCCGGGCCCCAGGTCTATATTGTCCTATATAATCCTGCATCCGCCCCAGTTCATTTCTTCCCTGCCCTTTCGTACCTCTCGCCTTTAATCATCGTTCTTGTTGCTTAGTCTCGCTTACGACATGATACACCGCTAATACCACCCTTCAGACATTAAGGCAGCTCTTAATGTTTAAGTTTACTTGTTAGTGCCTAATTTGAAGAAGATGGCGTTTCTTATTTTTAATGTTATTTGCATTGTTATTATTATGTGATTGTGAATTTGTGATTGCGGAAATTGCCCTCGATGGCTCAATAAGTGGCATCAACTAATTTAATCTTGAATCTTGAATCATTCAAGCGATCGACAATCAATCACATGGATCTCCACAGATATGAGTTAATTTTTAGATATAACTATCTTTATGCTGTATCGTATCTAATAATAACAGGTAGGCCTACCTGATTTATATAGTGATAACTACCTTCTTGTATGTTTAAAGTTTGCCTTTCATTTAATAGCTGTCGATAGCCGTCCAGACATAACTTGACCATCGATGGCTTTTGCGGTATATCTCGGCTGCTGTACGGAGGATCTGTGTACAAATCGAGCATAATAACCAATCAATCAGTCAACATAACTTTAATAAATAATTGTAATACTCTAATATGAAAGTAAATAGAGGCGGTGAAACAGCTGATTTAATGAATAAACAAGTAGCTCGCCTGTAAATTTAAAATTTAAAAGAAATAAAAATAATAGTCATGACATAGAAGTTTTATAATTTTGAAACATTTAACTATAGCCTACTGAGGGAGCTCAAGCGACAAGAAATACCGTAATTTAATTAACCTGCAATAGCGTAAAGAGAGTCATGGGCCCTGGGAACGAGAAAGTGGGGCCTCTTGTATATCATCAAAGTAGGCCTATTGTCGCTCACAAAATGGACCGGGGTGGGTAATCCCCCTAGATATAATTGTTAAGGCTGAATATATTGTATTTCATTATTAGACATTGTCAAACAATATCGTGTGACTATATAACTTCAATTAATTATTTCTCACATAAATTTTTAATTTTAATATTTGCGTTGAACCTATTAGATCTATGCATAATCGTCATTTGTGTACGTGCATTTGATTAGCGTGCAGGTTACATCCTTAATCATGAATGTATTGATCTAAGTTCCAATGGGGCGGATCCAGGGAGCACGGGGAAAGAATGTAGGACGGTACCGCGGCCTACTACTCCAAATTAGCTACAGTAATGTTCGATTTAAACTTCATGTAACAGTGCCTATGGTCTGAAGCATTTCTGAACAAAAATCGCAACACCACTTCAAACTTCGCATGTTACATGTTCCCTACCCAGATTTTATTCTAGGTACCATTCCAACACAAAATTAGACTATTAACACTTTAACAATTCAGAGATGAACAAACATTTACTTTCCCCATTATAATTGTAAGCCTACGACGTTTGGATCACTTTTTCGCCGGGTCGTTTATAACTAAGCTTGAAAATATCAATATCGTTGCAGGCTGTTTCATCCGATATATACGTTGTTTTCATCGATTTTAACATGTCATGTATAATGTTTTACATTTATTTAACAATAGGCCTGCTATGATGGGTAATCATGTATTCAGTTCTTTTTTTCGGAGGCGGATTCTATGGTGAGTGGGGATGCAGCCGGCAAGGGCCCCATACATTTTAGAAAATTAAAAGAAAATGTACCTTATTGTCAAAAGTGCCGTGCTAGAGTGCTGGGTTTTAGTAAGAGGGTCCCCCGTGGCCTCTCCGGGGCTCATTTGGACTTGGCACCACAAAGCACACAGGCGTTATAGAACTGGTCAAAGATCTATAGTAAAGTGCTGGGTCGTATAAGAGGGGCCCCCGGCCCCTCTACTTTTTGAAAATTAAAGTACCGTATTGTCAAGACGTTGTAGTGAAGTGCATAAGTACTTGTAAGAGAGCCCCTTGCCCTCTCCAGGGAGACTGGGCCCCAGGAAAGCACACAGGCGTTAGTCCAATGTTAAGGCTCGGTGGTAAAGTGTAAGTAGTAACAGGAAGGACCCTTTTGATTGGCGGTCAGGGGCTGCGCCCCTGAGAGCTCACGGGCGTTACGCCACTGTTAACCTGATTTATTAAGTACAGCATGTTCATTCTTATTTTACGGGGGATAGACCTAATTATGATTTCGCTTTATTATTCAACGTTATTCCAAAGTGCCAAAATTGCAATACATTAACTTGAAGTGCTACCATGAGGAATCATCGTTCTACCGTAAAACCTCGAATAGAAGCCATGGGCTTCTTGTTTTGCGAACTTTGGATGTGCTTCTTTTCGAGGCTACTTTTACAAAGTAAAGAGAGGGGCTTCTTTTCAAAATGATTGATGTAAATTTTGGGAATTAATAATATAAAACAATAAATAGGGCCACTGTAATATCAATTTGTATTATGGAGTGTATTAACTGGCATTAAATTAAACTACTGTAGGCATATAAACCAGGCGTGTTTTTAATTTATTTATATATTATTTTATTGTAATTTCATTTCACACAAAAACAAAACAGTACTTAAAAAATTGCTCAAAGATAAAGCCAGTAGTAACTGCAAAATTTCAAAAATTATTTTAGGCATGACAACATAGGTCAAGAAAAACTTAATATGGATACCTGCCATAATGATAGATGATCTTAATCATAATTAACAATTTCTTTTAAAAAAATTAATTTCAGAAACAAAAAACATTTATTTTTCTTAATTCAAGTATTTCGGTCTTTTTGTTTAAATATTTAATGCAAGCAAAAAATATTCTAACAAAAATTATAATATACTTACATTTTATACATGAGGACTAACCTTTTCTTGCATTCACTGTGTGACAATTAAATATATTTAACGGGTATTTTTTTTATTAAACAAGATCTGCTTTTTTTTTAAACCTACTGTACACTAAAAAGGTAACCATTTTTTTTCTCCTCAGTTTTTTTTAAATTTGGAAAATACATATAGACTCAGATCGAGAACGAGGAGAAAAAAAAGAAAAAAAACTTTAGATATTCCACTTTCAATACACCTTAACAGTTTAAAAGTACTCCATTTGGTATTGTTCAAGTTATTATTTTTGGCAAATCAAAACATAAAAATTTTGTTTTTCTTTGAGAGGCAAAGGAATAAAAAAAATAGTATAAGCACACACACCCGAACACAAAAAACAAAACACACACACACACACAAAAAAAACAATATAATAATATATAATATATATACATACATATACACATTTAGGTCCTGTCTCTTATACACATCTAGATGTGTATAAGAGACAGCATTCAACCCCTCCATGTACCCATTTTATACTCCTGAGTTGACAGAAGCAATGCCTTGACCAAGGACACAAGCGAAATGCACAGCGAGGGACTGAAATCCTGACAGTATTACCGCATGGGTTTCTTTTCGAAGCTACTTTTGCAAACTAAAGAGGGGGGTGGGGGCTTCAATTCGAGATGGGCTTCTTCTCTAGTTAAGAGGTTTTACGGTACGTCGGACAGGCCTGGACCCGGCCGTCACCCAACGCCACGACGAGTTCGTCGGACGAAAAATATTACTTTGCCTATCCAAAACGTTATTTTCATTGCCAATTCCTGAAATTGTTGTAAAAGCAAAATTTTGGACCATACTAGACCATACAAACTCTATGAACCCTACCAGGATTTTTTATTGCGGGACGACCCTGATCGAGGCAGTCGGCAGGGGCGGATTTAGGGGGGGCCGGCCCCGGCACCCCCTTTTGAGTGGTAAAAAAAAAGAAAAAAAGAAGGAAAAAGAAAAAACGATAACCCAGAACGCCTCAAATGTTATTTTCGGGCGTCTAAAACACAGAAATTTCGCGGGGGCATGCTTCTGGACCTCCTATTTCAGTGTTGTCTTGATCGGTCCAAATTTCGCTTCCCCACCACTGGGCAGTAGCCTATAGCCCCAGTCTACAGTGGGTTATCAGAATAAGTATTCTTGCCTGTTGACAAAATGCCCGATTGCTGAAACCACTTTGTCACCAAGCCCAATTTGACGAATGTCATATCGCCTGCTCAACAATCTGAAATCTAGTTTGCTGAATGTTTATAACCCACTCCGCTTTTGCCGGAGACAGAGTTACCGTTACCTTTTAAGAATTATTTTAGGGTACGTACAGTACGTTATTGTAGTAATATACACCTCAATTTTTTAGAACGCTTTAATAGACCTCTCGTAATTCAGAGAGCATATTTCAGGGCGATATTTTTGGGTAGGCCCTCGGATCTATCACTCTCAATATTATCTCTTTTCCTCCTTAGGTAGTACAGACATTACAGAGAAAGAGTGAATTTCAGAGCACCACGAGAACAATGCTTTTTTCCCCGACACCATATTGCCCCTGCTCATTTGTTTTTCTTTTCTTCTTTTAACACGAATATGATTAAATAGTAATAAAATTAAACAACAAAGAAAAGTCTTTGTACAAAGTTTCAGTTATCAACAACATGTCTCTTATAATACGGACGGAAGACTGTATTTCCGTGTAGGGCCTATCTATTATTAAGCTGCCACTAACAGTGGATCAGACTGGGATAGGACACAAATAATTACCGGTCCAGAAACTAAACAGGTGCTGGGGCCCCGGCAAGCGCTCTTGTTTTGACACTATGGAGAAAATTTCAAACTTAGAATCTCTGAGCACTTCAAACGCATGGATGCCGTGTACTGTATTATTGTATTTTTGTTAACGTGTTCCCCTTATAGGCGGCGCCATACACCAAAGGCTCATCGGTCCTCGACCGATTGAAAGCAGTTGATGCAATCAGTGGATTCTTACCAAATACTGAATCAGGAACTTGGATATAACACTCGTTACAGAAGGTTTTTTCACATAGACGACAGTGATTACAACCAAAGAGAAATGTTTTCTCACATTTGTGACAAGTCTTCTTTGAAGGTTTCCGAAATATTTTTCCTAAAAGAAAAATCGATAATGAAGAATGTGGGCGTTACAGATTGCCATAATATCCCTACACGTCTTCGTCGACAGTTTTCATTTCATTTTATTTAGGTCTATTCAACCATATAAACATTAAAAGCACAAAAACAAAAAGAAACAACAAAACGATTGCCAGTAACAGCTAAAGCAAATACATTACTGTAACTCTAAAGAGTCAGCTGCAGTAGCGTATCTATGGGAGGCGTGAGGGGTGGGGGCTCCCCCCAAAATTACACGCGCTCGCCCAGTCGTTCCCCCCCCCAAAAAAAAAATCACGGTCAAGTAGTTAAAAATCACCTAAAATCACCATATTTTACGAATTAGCTAACTGATCATCGAGCCCCCACCGCACCCCCTTCACATTCGTTCGCCCATCAGCCCCACCTCCAATTAAAGAATTCTAGATACGCCACTGGTCAGCTGCCTTAAAAATGAGAAAAAGTTAGCATGAATATTGCACACAAGAGAAAAGGTATAACAAAAATATATAAAAAGCCCTAAACTATTTGATGAATTATTTATTAATCTAAATTGCATATTAACAACATTACTTAATGATTACATAAATATATAAGGATAATTTAATTAATTGATTGCATTACTAGATTTATATAAAAAATTAATGTAATTATGAAGCTTATAAACGACATGTTTCAACGTGTCACATGTCACCATCCGGTAATAATACTTATACTACTACCGGTTTATATACTACCGGTCAGATGAAAGACAAAACAAGCATATATTGAGGTAAGTCATGTATATAGAGGTCATGAATACTATGGTAAGCCATGTATATAAGAATTAAATGAAAAAGTGCTATTGTAACGAGTTGTTTGTTTGTTCAGTGACAGATTTTCCCAAGAATAGTATAAAGCATTCTTAATGAGATGAACATATTTATTAATATTACAAACGATTGAAAAACAAAAAAAAAAGGAAAAAAGATTATAAATAAATAAACTTAAAAAATTAATTTAATAGTTACAAAAAAATGTAAAATAAATTAACAAGAACATTGCACAAGAAAATATTACAGAAGTAAATAAAAAGCCCTATACAGGGGCGGCTCACCCCACCCCTTCTTTCGGAATGTTAAAAAAAAAGCAAAAAAAAAAAAAAAAAAAAAAAAAAAAAAAAAAAAAAGAAAGAAAAATAAAGGTTATTTTCGGGCGTATAGAAAAAAAACAAAATTTTTCCCGGGCATGCCCACTGACCCCCTAGGTTAGTGTTGTCTCGATCATCCCCATTTTCGCCACTCCCCCACCCCGTTTGGACATATCTGAATCCGCCCCTGCATACCTACAGTTTAAAGAATTAATTATTAGATTTATAATACGGTAGGCACCGTTCTAACCACCAGGCAATTTTATACAACTGAGTGTAAAAGTTAGTTAAATAAAGAGAAAGTACTTCAGTTTATTGGGTGGGTTGAAATACAGCTCATCTTTCCGCCACTTCACCTTTTTGTAGTACAGCAGGCCTTCAATGTAGGCCTACAGTAGGTAGTATACTAAGTTATACAGCACACTGCTTACCTTGCTTGAGGTTTCCATTTTCTATGATTTCTCGTAGACGTTCTAGATTGTGCTGATTAGCTGGTATCTCCATTGCAGTACCCGGACTACCATATGGATTGTACTCAATGCTCGCCTCCTACATAACATAGCAAGTTCATGATAATGAAAATGAAAAAAAAATGATACGATAAAGTATAGCAGAAACAATATTCAATAATTGCCTACCAATAATGCATCAGAATTAGCCTATGATTCCCATCCCGATGATTCCAAATTTCTCATTACAATAACGTTGTAGTTTGTTTAAAGCGTTTTGTAGATTAATACGTATATCGTGGCTAAATAACGTTGAAGTAACGTTGTGTTAACGTTATTTTGTGACCTAACATTCAAAACGTTTGTGAACGTTGTGTCTGCTGGATGGACAAAATTTGCAATTATCATAGCGTGAGAGTTAAAAAATGTAATTATAAGTGATATATATAATATATATATATATATATATATACATAGTATGAACCTACTACAAACGTATACATATATATATTATTATATATTATATATACACATACACACACACCATGTACACACACATTTTGCGACTCAACAGATGTTGCGTCAAACATCTTAACTAATACAAAAGTAATCTAAACAAAACTAATGAAAATAATAAAAGATAAAAACAAATTAAGTAAGAAAAACAAAAGTCGATAAGTAAACGTATGCACAAATTAGATAATACAGTGCTTTACAAATTTAGCCTGGGATCTACTACTATGTATGCAGACTTTTTTACCGAACTATTAACAAGTCAGTTGCATTTTAAAATAATCTTTAAAATAAGAATACTATCAAGCTGAGCAATAGCTTACCATGGTTCTGGCGATTCGACAGGCAGGCTCTAACTGAACACGTGAGCAAAATCACGAGAAAGCTGTCTGGCATGAAATCAATACAGTCGGAACCTATAAATGGTGTTTGGGATTTTTCATTTGAGTAGGCGCATATATGCGCATACAAAGATGTGTGTTTTCCGGGTTTTGACTTTTCAGTCAATAAACACACGTATAGGCCTACATATAGGCCTATAGTGAAGGAATAAAAAATCAAAACAGTTGTAATCAGCCTGAGTTGAAACTTAATTTGATACAAATTGTTTCGAGCATAGCTCATAATAGGTAGGCATATAGTAAAGTACTGTGACAGATTGCAATATAGCTCTAAGACCTTTTACAAAATAGAAATATGCAACTAAAACTTTGCATAATTTAAAGCATTTTTTAAGACGTAATAGCTACAAATAATATAACACAATAAATTAGACGTTTTCCGTTTGTTTGTTAATTAAGCAAAACGCGCTAAATGCGTTTGGGTGGCAATGCCCTGTTTCTTGTCTGGATGAACTTTATATTGGAATAAACGCAATCGGTGAGGAGGTTATGAGGCTATTTTAGCAACAGGAAAAATGAATTTACAGGAATTACTGTAACCATATTAGAGGTTTCCACTCGCTATCCTACACGGCGAGGAAATAACAATATAGGCCTACTTGTACCTCATTATTAATGCTTTTCATATAAATAATATGATGCTAAGACTGCAACTATGAATGAAATAGACACGTACTACCAGATATTGATTCTTCGAAAGGTATTTGAACATTCATAGTCATACTATCTATCGTTTTCTACGGGCAAATACCGATGTATGTCTAATTGATCTTATATCCAACGCACGTTGTACAAACATGTCTATTTGTACTAAAATAAATAAAATAAGATACTAAACGACACTTAGAAATTATTTACGTATGGGTATAGTATATTAAAAATGCAATGTCTGGCGCCAGGATTTGCCCGACGGGGGGTCCAATGTCCCCAGACAAGAGCAACGCTGTGGTGGTCAGACGTCACTTAAAATATTTTGAGATTGGTTTCGGGGTGGGGTGAAGCTCCCAAAAATTTTGACGATTTAGGGTTTTCAAATGCTTATTTAATCGATTTCAATCAAAAACTTCACATGCAATAATTCCATTAAAGGTTAACCCTGTACCTATTTATGACTAAGAATCACGTGCATCATCATAACGAATCGCATTGTCACTGCAAAATTCATTCAGCCGTATCATTTTGTGTTTATATTCGCGTATTATTCAATTATCATTCGTAAGCATTATTAGACCTATTATTTACTAACCTTGTTAAGAGCAAATTCTAAAGCCACCTACAAAATAGGCTCCCAGTGTCAGTGTGTGTCCATGCCCTATACTGCCTTAATGTATTGTGTTTACTAATGAAGTATCCACATGGGATTCACTTATCAGGAAAAGTGTGGTGTTGTATTTTTTATTATGACTTTCGTACAGCAAAGTAATAAGGTATTTAAGAAGACACATGACCCATTATGCACCTCCACCGGATATCTTTTCAGCCATCTTTAAGGAAAACATAGTGTATGTGCCCCCGAGGGGGCATAGACACAAATACGGAACCCCACAATCATTATGTTAAGCTTTGTCCAGAATTACATTTTCTGTGACAAAGAAATATGAGAGGTTCATATAATCATGATGGCGTCATCACATTATCTAAAATTGTATCAAAAAGTTTAATGTGATTTTGATTCCGTCTTATGTGCTGGTACTGTATGGTATCGTATCTTCACTACTAAATTAATAGCTGCCGCTAGATCCAAAATATGGTCGAATAGAATGTACACAGTAATTCATTCACATAACTCTCAAATCCCTTTTTATCTTCCGCTCTTAACTTTCGCTGTCTTACATTCCCCCAGTCAGCTTCTCTCAAGTGAGTCTAAGTTCTCATCTTTGCCTTACTTTTCTTTTCTCTTTTCCTATCTCTCCCTTAACACGCAGCAGCTATAGACCCTTCTGCTTCATCCTTCGATTTGATGTAAGCATTAACGTGAAGAATTACCTAACATCTTTTGGTCCGGAATAAGCAAGTACTGTACTCCAGTACATATACCACACCTACCAATCGGATTTGATTATTCAATTGCATCAAAATCCATGACATTGTTTGATGAAGTTTGATGTATTCTGATAATATTTGTTCTACCTTTGATGAAATCTGGTAGTCTAGACAGAGCTTTAAAGCGTTTAACAAAAAACTGACAGATGGCCTAAAAGACGGTAGAGGACAACATAAGGAATAAATAATACTAAAACATCCCTTTAAGAAACATTTATTCATATAGACAGTACTAGTTCTTAGTACGATGGAAGTGCATTCATGTTGATTGTAGGCCAACATACACAACGATCAAAAGAGGAACGAAACAGTACAATCAATAATACTCTAATATATCCTTAAAATAGGCTGTTACTTACTTACTATCTATCACCAGTAGAACATCAATAAGATACGTGATGTTAAGAAAACGATAACGAAAACAAAGATGTTTTCTCTGTGTAGCCGTTTCCGTTTTCTCAAAATTACGAAACCTTCACAATGTCCAAATTATTTAACAACATAATACTTAGAAAATTGTATTTCAATGTGACAGCAGTGAAGATGGATTTAAAAGTGACATCGATACTATTACGATGCAAGTCATACATGTTTGGGCCCTCCAAGTGTTGACGTTGCATGCTGGAATATCGGTAGTTAACGCCCACTGGCCATCAAGGGTCGCAAATTGGAAGCAATCCCTTCCAGGAGATCTGGTTAAATGAGCTTAACATATTAAATTTATTTAACGGTGATACCTACAGGGGTGGCGCCAGCGCGGGGGATAAAGACCACAATTTGTTGGAGAAAAAAATGTTAATACGCCTTTGAAACCCCTAAATTGTCATATTTTTGTGCCCCCTAGAACACTTTCAAGAATTTTTGAGCGACGTCTGATCACGCTCACTTTTTTTCGTCGGGGACATCAGCCATCCCTCACCCTATCGGGGATGTCGGACACCGTCGGGGCAATTCCTGGCGCAACCCCTGGATACCCATCGGCACTGACTTCCATGAGGCAATTGATAATAATGTAGTAAAAACACGAAAATATTTGTGGGAGATGGGTTATTTTCCGGGAGATTCTTGCTTGCTTGATGGAGTGCAGGAGGCCGTTTCGATTCCAGGGAGACTCCCGCGACTTCCGGGAGGCTTGGGACCTGTGTACCTGCTCATGACAATTAAACTACCATTATGAATTTTGGACTGTCACGAATATAAACTAACTTTAATGTTTAATACCATTGGGCAGAAGATCAATTACAGTAATGAAATATCAATTCCAAATAAACAATTTATTTAAAATGTCATTAATTTAATTCAATTATTTAACAAACTTAAGATTTTTTTTTTTTTTTTAAACAGGCTTATAAAAAAAAAAGTCTAAAAATTTATCAAAGGTGGAAATGAATACAAAAAGCAAAAACGTAATTGGAGTGGCAGGGGAACAGAAAATGCGTAGGGGAGGGTATATAGCTTGTCTCACTTTTATAATTTGTTGTGTATAGGCCATACACACCAAGGAAATTACTGGTACATTGGGGACAAAGAACTGCTTGCAGTGGAGTGGGGACTGTTTGAACAACTACCATAGTTTGATGGTAATCCTGTGTTTATGTTGTGACCTATTTAAAACTCCTATTTGTAAGAAGCAGCCTCAGTGATGGCGCTAATGGGGCCTAGGATCAGGGAGAAAAAAGAAACAATTTGTTGGAGGGAAAAATTCTATATAATTGTTACAGATTGTTGAATTTTTCGGGAGAACTGCACCCTGGAATCTTTTTGGAAAGCCCTAGGCCCCATCCACATATGCTTCTGTCAGGGACATCGGACCCTCGTCTGGGACATGGGACCCCTATAGAGCAAATCTTGACACCACCACTAGGCAGCCCCTGCACTGTTAAAATTAACACAATAATAGTCAAACTGTTACATAAAATTATACATCTTGTGGTGTGGTATAACTTAATCAACAATATTCCACTTTTTCAATTTTTTCAAAAATGACTGGTAGTTCTCATTATCCTTACTAACTTTACATTATAAACAATTTCAATACTACCAAATTCAATATTTTATATATTTTAATCTACTTTCAGTTAAAACAATAATTAAATTATGAAAATTCTTAAATATTATGTGCAATTATACTTTGAAATATTACATTTTATTAACAATATATAAAGAATGAGCATGTATTTCACAATCATTGGCAAAGCTGGCTGGTAAGATGTGATAAGAGTACAACGGGTGGGTTAGTATCATTTGGTGTAATGGATTAGGTAAGGGCAGTAGAAGGTGGTGTAAAATCCTGTATTGGATAGTGCAGATAGGTGGGGTTTGGGGTTACTGCTAGGGTGGATGGAAAAGGGATGCAACTAAAATTTAAATTAAAATGGAAAATATTGCAAGTTGCTTAAATTGATAAATTATAAACAGATTATAATATAACAATAATAATAACAATAATAACAGCAATAAATTAATGTGATTATACATAAACTATTAAATATAAAATATTAATATGAGTGGCCATACTAATCAAAAACTGTGGAAACTTTTGCTTGTTACTCAGATGTTTTTTTCTAAAGAAGCACTTATTAAGAAAATGCCCTGAGGTCAACCAGTGACATCCGACTGACCTTAAAGAAACAAATTCACCAAATATACACACCGATTTAACTTATTTGTAACCTTTAACTCATATGGTTAAAAGTTCTCCAACCATGTAAGGTTCATAGTTTTTAAAGATCATACTTCACAAACCATAACAAGCACTTTGTGAGTAACTTCGACCTTTGGCTACATGGGTCAAAAATTAACCAAGCATAAGACCCATCATCTTTTAATTGCAATTCAGCAATATTTAACCTTGCAAAGAAACCCCTAGTAAATAAACATCTAATCTACATTAATTCCAAATATGTGACTGGTACTTTTCCAGTTTGTGAGCCACGCTGACCAATCATCCAATCAGAGTCCAAGCCTGGAGCACTCCAAACAGTTATGAGCTGAATAATGAAAGAAAAACATGAACAAAATTAATTAAGTGTAAAATGTTAAGACAACACATCTCCAAAACCTGAAGCAAAGAACACTCAGTCTGGGAGAAAACAAAGTTAAAATGTCTGAGTTGAAACCAAATCGAAAATCAGACAAAGAAGACTCAATCTTAGTCAAGTCAAGCAAAGAAGGCCCAATTAAGTCTGAATGTTGGATTAAGAAAGTCAGTCAGTCAGTCGAAAAATGTCAGGTGATGAAGCCTCGGTCAAAGCTTCAAAGATAGAAGCTTCAAACAGGTTGAGTAAAAAATGGCTCAGTCGAGTTGAAATGTCAAACTATTAAATACTCTTTCAACATAATATACAGTATACCACTTTGCAAAGTTGACATAAGCCAAACAAATTGTTGTATTATAACAATGAGCCAACACAAAACATAAACAATTTCATCATACAATTACAGGTAATGATTCAAGTAGTATAAACAATACATTTTTACAAGCAAATTAGACTAAACTTTAGAAGAAAAAAATTACCCTCATGCACAAAAAATGTATGCCAGTTAGTATTGAAGTTTAACAAAGCATGCATATCTTCTCTGTCTATGTATTTAATGGCCAAATAAATAAATAGCAAAATAAATAAAATGAAAGGAACTGGTTGCATAGATGACATCAAGAAATATTTAGAATAAACAAATTCAAATTGCCTGAGAGAAATAACTATAGAGGAAACAGGAAAGCATTTCAGAAAGTGATTATGCTGATGATGTAGACAATGAAGATGCAAGGCTGATAAGAATGAGAATGATGAGGTTGATAAGGAAGATGTTTATCATGTAAATGATGAGAATGATGAAGATGAGAATGATGAAGAGAATGTTCAAGAGGATAACAATAGTAAAGAGAATGATGACGATGTTGATGACGACTATAATGAGGACGATGAAGAAGATGATAGTTATGATGATAATATAATGATGATGATGATGAGGTGAGGATGAGAATCATGATGAAGACATTGACATTGATGATGATTCTGATGATATAAATATAATCAAATAATTTTGATGTGAAGTAATAAATAAAAATGTTTATAATATGTTGAGAGTAGAACAGTTAATAACATTTATTCTGCAGATGACATCAAACTGAAGGCAGCAATTTACAAGACATGAATGAAGCATGGTATGGTTCTAGCAGTTACCTCATCCGCTAGCAAGGAGAGTTCGCTGGAGTCTGCCGCATCATAGTCATAAAGAACCTTAGCATTCCTCGTCATACTGTTGCCAACCGGCATTTGCCCATTTCCAGTGATGTATGGCTTGGCAGAGGGTACAGAACCATCAAGATTTGGGGGAGGTGGACGAATAGGCCCTGAACCAGGTAAACTACAGAGTTACCAAAAAAGATAAAGCCAAATATAAACCTCATACCAAATGTTAAAATGTGTGAAACCATGAAATGTATACTGCAAAATAAAAGATCTATTTCTGATTTGAGAGAAAGGGAAACAAACAGAAAACAATATGTTGATAAGCAGACAAGTTAAAATAACTAACATATTATTATAATATTGTGTATGGTAGCCATAAGTGTCATGGCAACTTTTCAAAATATCCCGGGACACTTTCAAAATTTACGGCAACAACTTTTGAAACTACACGACACACTTTAAAAAGTCACAGCACGCTTTAAAATTCGCCGCACACTTTTAAAAACCATGGCAAACTTTCAAAATTCAAGGCAAAACTTTCGAAATGTCATTTCAAAATTTCAGAATCACAACTTCGGAAAGCAGGAAGTACAAGTTTTAAAAACTTTTGGCAGCAGCCGGGACATGGCACAACCTGAAGTGGTTGTATTTAGCAACTACCATGTTCCAGCCTGCCGCCAAATGTTCTAAGAATTTCTGTCACTTCCGCCATGAGGTTCACAGCGAAAGTTGTACTTTACACGACCGAAGTCGTAAATTTGAAAGTTTGATGTAACTTTTCAAAAGTTGTTGCCATGAATTTTGAAAGTGTGCCATGGTTTTTAAAAGTGTGCGGTGAATTTGGAAAGTGTGCCATGACATTTTGAAGTGTGCCGTGTGGTTTCAAAAGTTGTTGCCATGAATTTCGAAAGTGTGCCATAACATTTCGATAATTGTGCAATTTAGATTAGCGTCACAGCCAAGAACTGCAGTTGCCATTGCAGATAATTTTAAAAATCCCGTGGATTTCAATTAATATTTTTAAAATATTAAAAATTGTTTTAGAAAAATGCTCATGTGTCTACTCTTTGGTCAATTTTGGAATACGAGAACAAATTAATAAAGCAAGAAGGATGAATCATGCACTAAAAAATAAAAGAAATGAAATGGCAAGGAAAATTAAACAAAAAACCATATTGAAAATAAAATTTATGTAAATTACTGTTGGTATAATATAAAAAATCATAATTATCATATTTATCATTAGTTGATTATTTAATTAAAACATAAATTATTAAATTATTAGAAATGATATAACAGCAAAGTAAATGGTATCAAAGAAAATTTATTTATACTAACAATAAAAAAAACTTTTTTTTCCAACAACTGCAGAATTTATATACAGTACTAGGATCATAGAAATTCAGGAGTTTACACTCTGTGAGCAATCAATCACATGATGAGAGCATTTGGATATTTAAAGTCATAAGAAGAATGAATGTCTTCCGATGGGGCTTTTCCGCCGGCAGAAATAATACAAATCAATTTTTGCCCTACCTGACATGTAAAATACTGAATGCTCAATATGTTCTCAAATGCATGCAAAAAAATTCTTGCAAGTAAATTCGGGAATCAAACCTACACGCCATCGGAATAGCATTGCAGCACCCGCTACTACCTGGGGATCGGATTCATCTATAGCCACATAGCGCAAGCTCGGTAGTCAAGTGGTCAAGACACCAGGCTAGTGATCTGGAGGTTGTAGGTTTGATTTCCACCGGAATCCCTTGGTGAGATTGTTTTCACAAGCATCTGGGAATACACTAAGCATTCAGTACTATAACATGACAGGTAGTGCAAACATTGATTAGTAAGAATGAATGCAGACATGCAATGAACAGTACAGTAATTTGTGAGACCCACTGTTGAATGAATCAGTTTTTAAGTATTTTAATCTTTACTTGAGGCTTGGTATCCCAAAACCAGCATCAGCGACCAAAAAATTAAAATTTACTTTTTAATATATTAATATTCTTCCCATCATATTAAGCTTTAGAATGATGGGTTATTTACTGGAATCGACTTACTATTGCTAAATTTACGAGTAAAAGCATTATAGCTTCTCTGTACTAAAGTATACGATACTGCCACTATTAAACGCTAATTACTCAGTTTAACAATTCGCAATAGTAGTATGCTGATATTTGAATGGCAAGCCTCATTTGTAGATAGTAAATATCTAGGCAGTGAATGATGGTTGTGTACATACTTGCCAAGCTGTTTTTGTAGGTCTGCCAGAGCAGCCTGTGACTGACTGAAAAAGTTTTGCTGAGCTTCGATGAAATCTTGTAAACACCTCAGATGATTGGACTAATATGTAAAAAGAGGTAAGTCAAACATGATAAAGAGTAACAGTAACAACAGTACTACTAATATTAATAGACTATTACACCACTAATAAATAACTATAATAATAATATAAAAAACATGGTAGCAATAATATAAAAAAAATACTAATAATAATGATAGCCTAAATTATTATAATAATCTTTAAAAAAAATTAATAATAGACAAGCAAACATGGCATATGTGGCAAAGACAAGCCAAACCAGTCACTCGTCACAAAAATCGATTTTGAGTTATTAATACAGGGTTAAAGTGTAAAATAGGAGCTATAAAATGGTAAAAAAAATCATTCAAATCGGACATTTCCTTATGAAGTTACAAGCATTGAAATATGCAGCTGTTTGAAGAACAATATCTGAGAAATCAGCCTTTAAAGTTTATGAATTTGGGCATTTCTCATGCAGAAACTATTATTAAATCCTTAAAAAGTGTTGTTTTAACATTAAAAATGGGGAAAATAACAGCATAGCATGATGTATAGATATATAAAGGTTAGTTTAGTGCAATAAAATATATTTTTAAAAAATTTGACATTCCAGCATATTTTGGCCATTTTCTCTGAAACACGATTTGCGACAAGTGACTGGTTTGGCTTTTCTTTGCCACATATAGTCATGTTGTTCACAGATTAGCCTACCCACACTTTTAACTTGGTTAAGTAATATGATGCTTCATATAGTAATAGACTTTGTATAGCGCCATCTATTGGATCTGGGTTTTTTTATTTGAGGTGCTGGTGTACCAATCTTAAAATGGTTTTAATTAATGTTTTAATTAATACTACATACTGTAGAGAACAGTTGCTTTGTTCACTAGAGAGAGCAGCTTAGCTCGGTCGGCTAATCTGGTGGAAGCAACTGTGTGTGTGCGCTGAACCGTGGAGATCTCTAGGTCTCCAGTTCAATTCCCATCGCTGCCTCTCCTTGTGAATCAGCTGGAGGGCTGAAATACAAGTTACAATGGCACACCGTCTTTCGGATGAGACGTTTAAGCCATTGGTCCCGTATGCATTTATGCCCATGTGCACGTTAAAGAACGCAGTACACTATTCGGAAAAGAGTAGGGGATCGTCTCCCGCCCATTCACCACCAGAAGGATTCCATTGGAAATAAGTCTTCTTCTAGACTTTCGTGGGCTATCCTTGGTGTTTACACCAAATAAATCCAATCCAATCCACTCCAATAGCAGATAGGCTGGAGGCATGTGAGCACATCCCTCAATTTTAGCTATCAAACTTTAAAATTTAGAAATTAAAACTGTAAGTACGCCCACCTCAGGTAAATGCCCACCTCAGGTAAATGCCCACCTTAGTCCTCCTGCATATTTTTTGAGTAGCTTCATGCAAAATGCTATACAGCTCAATCCTAACTTCTGAATTCAGAATGCAAATTCTAAAGATTAAGGGACTATTTATCATATGCTGGACTGTGAGGCCTAGGCTAGCCTGTAGACCCATTTTTTATCGTATTTCCTGGTTCCTATAGGTTATGGGCTTGCCCATAAAAATTAACACTTTTTCAATAAGCAGCCTTATACCAGAGTACCTATAGAAGAAAATTAGATTTCAAAATGGCAGCTGTACCCTCTTGTTTTCTCAATTACTTTAAAAGTCAGGCTCCACCCCATTTTCCACCTTTCCCCTCAGTTTTTAAATATACAAAGATCTGTATCTCATAACTGCTCCCATGTTTATCATCAAACACCCTTTTTGTGTTTTAGAACCACCACTTGCACAACACATCAATTTTTTCCCTCCAGAGCCTGCCTTAATAAATCCCTACGACTTCCAAAAGATGATAAAACTCATTTCAAACAGGAGCAATAGAATGATATCAACTTACATGTGCACTACCGACTCCTTCCAATAGCAGTTTTGTGATCTCATACTGACGATCAAATTCATTTTGTGCCAATCGGAGGTCGGCCTCAGCCTAATATAAAAAACAAAAGAAAATTCAAACAAATAAAGTGTTTGAATGAAAGTCAATCAAATATTGTCAAAACCAGTTTTGTCTCACAATAAAAACATTGCTCTACTCCCAAAAAATTAGTTTACAAAGCATAAATGGGGACAAATTTGAAGTTTTCTCTTTAATTTGTTATCAGTTTTCTGTAATATATTGAGTAATTATATATTAAATCCATATTATGTATTTAATTTCATAATATATATGTTATATTTTTTAATGTATTTTAATTACCTGAATATTTTGTCTACAAATTCATTACTAAACAATGAAAAAAACTGAACAGTTGTATATCAAGGATTAGACATGAATCCAACGTATCTAAAATATTCAAATCATTACTAAACATTATAATAAAACATAAATAATAATATCATTCATAAAATAAACATGCTTGAATGTGTAAAATATAAAAAATAATATTAGAAGCGGAGATACAGCAACCACTGGTGAAAAGGGGCTTAATGTGAGGTAAACATGCTAAGGATTGTGCAAATGTGGTTAAATGTAATTAGATGCTGATGATATGTCAGTGGTCAAAAAATGTAATGACTTCGAGCTAGAATAGATTTGTGAGTAATAAATATTTGACAATTAGTAAGCAGTCAAGCAGAACAGGGTATTTATCTTGACCAGTAGTCTAGTTATAGAGGTAATGATGTGCCTCTGTTAAGTAATCTAGAGTATGGCAATTACCTTCCACACAGTAAGTAAGGTACCGTACAATATAAAATTACATTATTAGTACGCTACTAAAAATTGTTTGTATATGAATTTTTTAAATCGAATTTAAGTTAAAATTTGGTTGACGGTTCTCTCATTGATACATATCAGATTGAAGATTGTAATTTTATTAATGATACTGATTAGTTAATAACAATAAATTCTTTTTTTTTAATTGTTTTTCATCACATCCAATTTGCATGTACTGTACAGGCTTTCTAGTTACAGATGGAATAAATATACTCTATAAAAAGTCGCATAATATGAAACTTTTACAATAAGCAATATATTTGTTTCAGTTGGGAGAAAAAAAAATCTGGGTTCACATAGGTTTTGAACCCAAGATCCTTAAATTGGAAGATAAGCACCTAAAGCCTGGTTTCCTTAAAATCGCTACACTGTCGCTGTGTTCTCAGTGCAGTTGTTGTTACTGCATAGCAGTCCCCAACGCAATCGGGAAGGCTCCCCAATTCGATTGACCAACCAGCATCACCGAAAGCTGTCTGCAATAGTGTGTAGCGATTATATGGAAACCAAGCTTTAACCACAAACTTAAAAACTCCAAATCCAATGAGCAGAACATTTTTCATCAGCATATAACAAAAAAAAACACAATCAGTATCTTGTCCCCCTCCCTCACCCTTTTTAGGGTCACGGTCACCTCCTTTTTACTACTTTGCTCTGCAAAAATCTCAACATCCTTGTAAACAATCTTTAGATCTATGTTTAAGTGACTGGGTCTGGCAAAACCTTATGTTCCAAATTGAATCTGTGGTATTTTTTAATTCCACGTGTATTATTCTTTTAAAAAAAAGTTATTTAATGGGAAATGATATTTGTCAGAATTGTTCCTTAGCATCCTGAAATAGGTTAAAAGGGTCATTCTCCAACTTTCTGGATTGCGAGCACAAATATGCTGACAGATGTAGAGTTTTGCCAGAGCCAGTTACATATCACAGAGTGTTTGGTTCACCTATATAAAGAAAGAAAAAAAAAAAAAAATAGGAGAAAAAAACTTCATCCTAATTTTTTCCAAAAACACACAAAGAAGAAACAAGATTTAAAATCTTCAATTCAAGTCCTAGTTGTTGGCCAAGAGCAGTTTGAGCATGACTACACTACTGGATAAAATGAGTATAATAGTATATATATATATAAAGACACTATATTAAATACAAACTGGAGTAAATGACATCGAGCTATAAACAAAACATACAGCGTTTAATGTAATGTCGATCTCAATTACAAAACATCACAGACTACATTATACTGACATCTTTACAGAGAACACAAACTATCAGAGGTTGATTGAGGTAATAAAGAATTACGAGGTTTTGTCAAGGAGGTGGAATTAACATTAAGACGCTTGAACTGGATCAATATATGAACATCAAGACAACGGAAGATCGTACTTAATTTATGCTAAAGTCATCCCAAGGATCAATACACAGACTGCCCCAGGCCGAAGCAAAAGTCTAAAATCTTATATTGTATATGGTTTAATTATATTTCAAGAAGCTAGTGGTTAGTGTTGACGTTTAATGATGATGATGATGATGATGATGATGATGACGATGACGATGATGATGATGTATCCGGATGGTTATATGGTTATAATCATGATGGTTTTGGTGATGAGAGCAGCAGCTACAGGGATGTCAATGCTGATGATAATGATGATGATAAGATGATGATGATGATGACGATGACTATAATGATAATGATGATGATGACGATGATGATAAATGTATGAAGATGGTTATATAATTATGATGGTGTTGGTGATGATAGCAGCAACGACAGCGATGTCAATGGTGGTGATGATGATGATGATGGTGATGATTATGATGATGATGATGATAGATGTATCAAGATGGTTATAATCGTTATGGTTTTGGTGATGATAGCAGCCGCGACAGTGATGTCATTGGTGGTGGTGATGATGACGATGAATTATATATTTAGAATGAACCATCCCTTTTATTCAAAATTGCAATTCCAGTTCTGTCAACTTTACCATTTATTATACCATTATCACCATCGATTCATTCATTCTCAACATAGTATTATCTGGTTGCCATAGCATTTTGTAATAACAACAAACAGCTGATAATTTTATATCTTAATCTTTCCCCCAAGAAATATTTGCATTGCTTATACTCACTGCAAAAACAATCACATTCAGGAACATATTTGAAGAAAAATGAATTTAAGTATTATGCAAAGAGTAAGCTTATATTTACCGTTACTATATGAGTAGATATGTTATACTACAATCATATCAATATATTAAAATTAGAATTATACCCGACAGCTTGTAGCAATTGTTTTACCCAAACTAAGTGGCGTTTGGAAATTAGAATTACTATCAGGGAAATTCTGTTTGTTTATCAGTGAAATCCTACATAAGGGGGAGGGAGGAGGTATAGTTGCCTGTCCAGCTACTTAGTTGGGGGAACTGAGAGCAGCAAGTGTTTGACACTGCAGTGCATTAGAGAATGGTGGTGCTACAGGGGCAAGGGTGGCATTTTCCCCTCCAGAAAATGTTTTTGCTCTCCCTACATTTTTGCCCACAAAAAAAATAAATAAATAAAAAACCACAATTCGTCTGGGAGAAAAAAAAAATATATGTATTTTCTACATATTAGTAGACTATCTATCTGTAAAATTCATTAAATAAGCCTCTGGAACCCCTAAACCACTTTTGAAACATTTTTAGTGATGCCCAACCATGCCCACTTTGCTCCTATCGGGCAAATCCTAGCCCCACTCCTGTATATTTCCCCCCAAAAAATTTTATCTTTCCCCCTCAGTTTCCCCCACCCCCAGATTTCAGACACTAGCACCGCTACTGGTATTAGAGACTATTCAATAATATTTTTGAGCAATTCAGACCAAATGTATGCTCTGTGATAGTTATCTCAATTATCATTTTTCCCCTTCTAAAAAGGCTCCATACACCCAAAAGGTCTGCGACTGACTGGAAGATTCAGTGCCAACCATCACTCTTTCAAAGTATTTTTTTTTTTTTTAATGAAATGGTATCCAAAGATCTAGAATTTGTTTAAAATTTAGAGCTCTGAAAACAGTCTTTGAAAACATAATAAGAGTATTAATTGTAGGGTTCTTTCTTGGTAACAAATATATTTTTATTTGCAGAAAACAGTGCCAATCCTAGATTTTCACATTTTTGGGGGTCAGTTGGGCTTTTTGTTTGTTTTAGCTTTATAATTATTATCATTATCAATTATTTTCATTATTGCTATTATGATCAAATTATCATTTTTATCGTTGAATATTATTATCATTATCATAATTTTCCATATCATTATCATCATTCGATCATTATTTAAGTATTACTTTTTTCAATGACAAATTTGTATAATTTGATACAGCAAGTATTGGTACTAACAGGCAATTTAACCATATCTGGATGAATGAAACATTAACAAAACCGACAATGCACAAATTGGAAAAACATAGGCTTAATAGCAATAATAGTAAAATGACAATAAATAATAAGAATTACACATACAGGTAATGTGACTCTCTGACAGGTACTGTATATAAAATAATTTACAGCACTAAAAAATAATTAAAAAGAATACTGAGAGTAAGCAAGCATTAATATATATTAATACTGAGAGTATTATTAGGTACAGTATGTCCAATAATATTTTCTTATTATTATTATTATTATTATTATTATTATTATTATTATTATTATTATTATTAAATATAACATATTATTATTATTATTATTATTAAAGCTAATTTTCAATAATTTAGTTAATAACATACCTTAACAAACAAAATATGCAATTCAAAAATATATATTCAACAACAGTTAATAATGACCAAAAATCCATCCAGGAAATAAGAGGGAATAACGAGAATTGATGAGACCGTAATACAATCACCAAGGATATCCTGAAAAATTTGAAAGATCTACTTTCACAATAAAGATAAATTGTTAAAGCTCCATTGGGGAATAGTAAGTGGGTATATGGAATGAGAAGTAAAGGAGAATTATTGTACATAAGATTATGAACCTTATGGTAAAAGTATAAGACCTACTGTACTGTAATGACACAGTACACGTGTACATGAGCAAATTGTATGAATATTAAGAAATCAGGAATAAAATAATATGTTGAATTGTAGTTAGTAGAGCACATACTGTAGAAACAAAAAAAGTACAACTCACAATTTTTTATAGTAAAAAAAAAGAAGAAGAGAAATAAGGAAAAAGGTATATATTTATGTATGACCTACTTCAATAAGAGACTCATCAGGGAATAGGGAATGTGAAATAACAGTAGAAATACAAGGATCTTCTGGTACTGAGGTTCCTTCTAGAGTTGTACACCTACTAGAGCATAGCCACAACCAAGATATATATGAGGGTAGGGGCATCTGGGATTTGGCTAAAATTAAGGTAAGATGAACTGGACAATGTATTATGTACCTTCTTAATTGTGTTCTAATCTAGGGGTAAACGACTAAAATAGTGGTAAATCACTACCGATTATCATTATATATTACTACGAAATAAGCTTTATATTTAGTTATTGTGCTACCCATGTTATTTTCATCATACAAGATAATAGAAGACATATAAATCATATGTTAAAGAGAGAAAACAGATTTTAGTGAAAATTATAAAAACCAAAAATTTACCAACAAAATCAAAGTTTAAAATAAAATATGGTACAAATAGCAAAACACTTTACAATGATGAAATTCTGATTACACTTACATTATAAACCATATCCTCATTGTTGGGCTATATGGAGCAGACAGAATGCATGTCAGTTAATTAATACTCTTACTAATTAACAATACATAAATCACAAGCAATAATAACAATGATTCAAATTAATCAATTCAATTTTTATTATACCGCAAATACACTTTAATTACAGCAGAATAGACCAATTTGACGCTAAGACTGAATGTAGAGTTTATATCTAGTTGTGAAGAAAAACCTTGGAATCTTACAGGATTTGAACCAAAGATTTTGAAATTGGAGGGTGAGCACCTCAACCACCAATTCATGTCTTCACACCACTTAATTATAGTAGTGATTATGGTGGTGGTGTTGATGAATGAATATGAATATGACAGAAAAAATGATGATGATATAATGATGAATGAGGATGACCTCGATGGTGTGGCTGTGATGATGATAATAGAAATTTAATACAAAAATATTATCTTAAAGACCACTGAAAAAATATTATTACTATAATGATCAAACATATAACTGCCTGTGTTGTTAACTTAAGACTACTGTATAGCATACAGGCGTAACAATGTATGAAAATTAACTTTGAAATAGAGCAAATTCAAGAGTTTTCTCATAATTCCTTTGTGGTATTTCTTCCTTTTGTAATTACCCACACCTTGTAACCCTATGTTGTGCGATAACAGACTTAAAATCAAATGGTGAAATAACCTCAAAAAGTTGGGAATGCATGTTAAAAAGAGTTGAGTTAGAGGCTTCTCATACAAACTGAACAAGCCCCAATGTGATGGAATATAATTCATTAATCTATATAAACTCTGATATCAACTCATTACTGAAGCAAAAATTAACGAAGAAAAATAAAACTATCATTAAAAAAAAAAAAATTCTTTTCATTGCAAAGTTTTAACAGGAAATACATTATCAAAATTTCAATGTTATATTAGTATGTTCCAAACAATAAGTGATTTACATCAGGGAGATCAAGACAATGAAATATGTAAATTTAATTAACAAACACTGTTACTTTACACAGGACTTGATTAACATCCAAACAATAACATGTCCAAGAGTGAAGGTCAATGCTGTTTATGCACTATGACCTTTAAGTGCAGACGTAATTTGATCATTCCATAGATATTTATTATTTACTGTGATATTCATTGTAATATGTACAGTATTGTTTATTAATTATTGTATGGTAGCATACATTCCAAATGCACTTGAAAATTAAATAGCAACTTTTGACCACATTTTTCTGTAACCAGACTATAATGCAGACTATAATAGCTCATGGTGGTCTAGGAATCAGACAAACACAGTTGGCTCAACTGCAAATTACATACTATTGGTATTAAGCGACGATATTACCCCATGAATGTACCCAATCCCCATTGAGTAACAGTGCACACAACATGCTATGGAGGTTAACATAAATTCAACATAAATTCTATAATTCATAAGAAGTCAGTCAATTCAAATAAATTAATTAATGAAACATGATAGAACTAAATAATGATATATGATCAAATAATGTATTCATCAATCGATAAATCTTAATATTAGTAAATGATTGATTGATGAATCTATCAATCAATATGTACATTTATGAAAATGATGAGATTAATACTGAAAAATAATCTATCTATTTATCCATCCAATAAATTAATCAAAATTGATAATCAATACTGGTACATGATAAATTATTTTATTTTTTAGAAAGTTCAATTGACCTACCGCTTTTTGATTTTCAGTAGATTTTGCTTTACGAACTTTGCTCTTACAAGCATCCAAGTCAAGTCTTTTTGATTCTAGAATTTTCTTTTCTTTCTGAAACATGAAACAAAAGTATACATCTTGAAAAAAATGATTAAAACTTATGGTAATAACATTTTTAAAGGATTCAAATGATAAAAAATTCATATGATTTTATGATTTTTTTAAATGGAATATATTCAACATGTTCAATGTAATAATAGAATTCAATATTTTAATTGCTTTGCTTTCTAAATGTTGGAAGTTTTACTGGTGGTAGCTTTCAAGTGACTGTTACACAAAGCCCCGCCCCTAGGATATTGTTTACTCTGTTCTGATTGGTCAGTTGTTAAGTTTGATTGGCACTCCAGAGAAATGTTTACTACAGATTACTGTAGATTGAGAAAATATTCATTGGCAATTAACAGATGCATTAATACGGTTCATATTTTTACATACTATAGACCATTGCATCGGCTGCCTTGCCAGGAATTTTAAAGATTTTAAATTAAAAAATAGCTGTATCTGTGCTGCAAAATCTGAATTGTTTTAAAATGGAAGCTAAAAACTTAAGACCCTTTTAAAACAGTAATTTAGTTTTGCAATTTTTACAGACAATAACATCATTAAAGATAAATAACATATTAATTAGGCTAACATTTTTGGAATGCACAAATACAATAACGACAGTCTCTGCTCTTTGACGCATATCCGCAGGATGTCATATTTTATGCTTACAATTTGACACTCTTTAGATGGATGATAATTAAATGTAACTGAACGCAGAACAATAATAATCTATTAATAGCATGCGATAACTATCTAGTGGTGAGTCAGGGGAGATAACTGAGTGCATTTTAACAGTGAGTCCTATGTTCTATTGAACTTCAATTTCAAATCGTGCAATAGCTCCCAGAGGTAGCTGCAGGCAGACTCATAAGGCTAGGACGTCACATTTCAATTAGATCAAGTAATTTGAATTCAAACTTGCTTCTTGTTTAGCAGAGAAATGTCTACTTTGAATTAATTATAGGATAATAATGGGATGCAACCTCATTAATGATTAATCTTTATTGCTAATTCATTTTCTTGCTGTAAGGTGAAAAATGAATGCATCATCAGTGGCTAGAATAAAAAAGAAGTTGAAATATTGGCTGTATCATCTACAAAACAGCAAACACAGAGTAGCCACTGAAAGCAAATTTATCATTAGAATACAGTACTAATACAGCTCTGTTTGTTGATTGTTGAAGGTTTATATGTACACATTACATAAGTGTAGCAAAGTCTGTTCAACAAGCCTGTAAAGTGGCGATGACTGGCTGTGTCTGGATAGAAAAAAAGAAATACAATTTTTAATTAATATTCAGCACTAAAACTGAACTTGGTTTTACCATACTATAGATGTAAGTAATGTTGTAATCCATACCTCACAATATCTACACAGAAAGATCATCATGGTTGTGAAAACTAGTAGAAATCATATGGATATATTCTTTAATCAATAAACCTCTGTCTACAGCACACTATCAATTTTTATGTTACAATGACCTGAGATTTGCCCATATATGGGTGTAATGTGACATCAGTGCCATATATGGATATAATATGACATCATTATGCTCATATAAAATCAGAGATTTTTGTCACATAAAACTTAATGATGTGGACAGATATTAAAGCTGGTAGATTTATACTGGTTTTTAAATGAAATAAAAAAGAACACTAGCAAAATAGAAAATATTCTAGGATTAGATTTGGTAACACATTTAAAACAAATAAACGAAAGAATTGAAAATATGACATACATTGATTGTCTTCATATCTGTGTCTAAAAAGTTTCTGAGTGGTGCCATGTAATTTGTGATAGATGTATTTACTAAGTCTTTCTCTAGTTGTCCTAGCTTTTTCTGCGTAGTACCACACTTCACCAATGCTGCTCCTATAAAACACAGAAATATAAATGAAATGAAATAACAATTCATTATAAATACAAATTATATTATAATAATAAATTGTATTTTGTGGAAATAGGTGTAAGTTAATTTATAAACCATCATTACAATAGATTGAAGCTCTCAATAATAGTATAATACTTAACCGACGAATTTTGTATTAAAAACACAATTTTTTAATGAATTAAACTTCAACGTATTGTACTCTATACATAAATTACTCAGTTATTTAATTCACTTCTGTAATTCTTTGATTATTGTATTCTTGTGATAGCATACTAATTGAAAGGTCATTAATGATTGTATTAACATAATACTCACCACCATCATCATTAAACAACACCAATACTGTCATCACCCACCACCCATCTCCTCTATCTCTACCACTATTGTGATTGTTGCCACCACTATCGTCATCGTCACTATCACCTTCACTGGCACTGTCATTCGGTATCATATTTTTCAGGTGGCCCGCCACTTACAGAATGGAACCGTCGTCGTCGGCGTCGTCGCGTCATCATCATCATCATCATCATCATCATTATCATCATCATCATATGTATTCTATATCATCACTACAATAATCATCATTAACATCACCAACACTATCTCATCAGCCATAGTTCAGGATTATCTTCTTACACAGAATGTACAAAATTTCTTGTCTGAAATAGTTAATCTGTTTCATATTGGGAACATACCAATAAATCATAACAATGAACATATACAATGCTGTATTTATAAACAGCTCCCCATATGTAAAAAAAACTGTTCAGAAGGTCCCTGTTAATGTACTTCACGTGTACAAGATTATAAATCCATATATTATTACTGTAGTTCATTGGATGAAAAAGGGTGTTAAAACTATATTGACGTATTGATTGGCAAAGGACTTGATTCTGTCTGTTAACAATAGGCGGTAGATAGAAGACACAATACACGCTGCTATTAAAATGTGTATGTTAATTACCTAATCCTAGCTCACTGACACAAACATGCTCAATTATGAAATAAACAAAATGAAAGTCCTGGGATGGGTGTGAGTGACTACAGGGTCCTACATGCGTGGAATGGTGTAGTAGGTTGTTTGTACAGTGCAGCTATTGAAAAGCGTGCATTGATTCTTACAATAAGGTTTGAATGTAGGCTGTGTTTGAACATATGGTGCTTAATCTAAGTATGGGATGCATTTTATTATTAATGTCTGAATACCAAAGTTCAATTTAATTACAACTGGATATGAGTGGATATGTGTGCCAGGCTGTTTGATACACAATGGTGCAGAATGCAGATAATCTTAATTGAGGGATGAACAAATAATTTTCATGAGAATACAGTTCAGTTTGGTTTATAATGCTCAGCATTTTCACTAGTATTAGCCTAGGACTTCGTAACTGGATGCCGAGCATCTCAACAACGATACCACACTATCAGACATTAATGTGCTATTAGGGTGGGGTACTGCTTTGTTACCAACAGTATAATTGCATTTGAAAATTTATTGTTTTACATTGAGAAATTTTAGTTGCGCAATTCACAATCAATAAATATGGGGTGTGTGTGTGCATAAAAATACTGTATAGTACCTCTAAAACACAAATATTGTAACCTAACTAATATTCCTTATCTCATTTTCCTCTACACATACTGAACAATATCCTTCCATTTTACACATTCCTCCTGTGCTACATTTCTTCTTTACCATCTCTTTCCTCTCCTTCTCATATCTCATCCCCTATCCACCACATACTATCCTTTTCTCATTCCATTTCTCATTACTTATGACTTGTATTTGTTCCCCTTTTCCACATTTTTTCTCCCCTCCCCAATTCCTTTCCCTCCCTCATCATTCCCCTCCCAACATCAATCTCCCTCTCCTACAACCTATTCCTCTTTCTTTGTCTCTCTAAGCTGCAGTTCATTCACCTTTGGAGACATCCACATTTGGCACATTTACATTTTATTCTACTAAAATATAATGATAGCCAACACTTGACCACATTTTAAATCCCCAATCACTTTGATGATAAACCAAAATAGCACTTTAAGTTTTGTATTTATGTTTAAAACATAAGCGTATCTGAATTGCCAATGGCTTCTTTAGATGTCAATTGTTAAAAGACACCGATTCAGCCTTCAAAGCTGATAACGTGTCACTAAAGTGTGGATTGCAAGTGGAAAATTACACACTACTGTAGTAATTGAATATACTGCACTACAGTAGTTTCTTTTACACAAAAGTGAAGACCTGTAATGGAGACTAGTTTAAAAAAAATTGTGATCTATAACATACTGTATGATATATGGTTAATGCATTATCCAATGACTATAGCATCAGCCCTATGCTTCTCTAGAACAGACAATACTTTCAACACTTTTTATATCCACGGCAGTCCAAACTCACTGTCACATTTGATGTTCTTGAGTACCCGGATACTGTCTTCTTAGCATAAGAAGTTTATGTCAGGACTGTACTGATGCAGCGGCAGGTCGTCTTTCAAAATTACATCAAGACCATTGGTTGTGATTGAACTATTAAAGCCTAGGCAACCATTTCTGTCTCCCTAAAAAAATGTTGACTGGTCTATTTGTGATAGCAAGTTTATTGATGTCTGGAAGCAAGCCAATATCTGTCCTATTCACAAGGGGTCCCCAAAAGCACATAATAATTGCTGTCCATTCCTTTCTTCCATGTTCAACGGGACGACTACTTTTTGTTTCAACTGACACGCCTCCCTCCCAGCATGGGTTTACCCAAGACATATACTCAACCAACCTACTGCAGAATCCTCTTCTTTTCACAACTAGCTCATCTACAAACATTTTAAAAATTGGCATTGCTTGCCCCTTTTTGAATTACTAATTATTTTTTGGTATTATAGGCAGCATAGATACACTGACAGTAGTTATTGATGTTTGGAAACCTGTTCAGTTTGTTTCCAAATGTGTCTTTCTTTGGTTAACTCTTGTAAATTTGCTAGCTTCTGCAGTTAGTTGAAGTGAAATTATGTTGAATGTCCCATCAGATACCATGTTTTTGTCAACCAGGAAACTGAAACTACTGTAGGACACTGGTGTTGTATGACAAATCCCAAGGTACTTCATCCTTGCAGAATACTTATTCGGTGTAACATTCGTTCTATGTTTATTTAAACATAATCAGTGGATCTGAAGATTCTTGCAAAATATGTTAAGTAAAAATTGTGTAGATTACATTATTTGTTTTATTCTAATATTGAAAATTATGAAAATCAGTTCTATTCATGAGTAACATAAATTAATTATTCTACATACAAAGCTTCGCTTTTTTTAGGTCCTATAATTAATATGGTTGTGCACTTATATAAGAGATTTCCCCCTTGGATTTAAACAGCATCATGTTTACGATAATAACTAACAACAGAATACAAAAATAGATTGTGGGGGAATTCTCCAAAACTGCTCATAATTCAGATGCCGAGATCTTAAATTCTCTTGAAACATCAGTACTTATCCAAAACAAGACTACTTCCATTACAGCCATATCAGGACAGACTATTAGTATTCATAGAGTTAACACAATTGTATCAAACATAAAACATATTCAATCTTTGCATCAAAACATACCATATTGAGTTCCTGGACCAAGGTCGTTGCCCGACTCAATCATTGCAATTCCAAGTAGTTCATAATTATTTTCTCGTTCCTTGGGTCGTCTGTCTAGCTTCGAGTTGAAATAGTCTTCCACGCGGAGATCTAGGCAAATAATATCAAACCATCTAAAATTTAACAGTGGACATATAATAAAATGGCCAATCGGCAGCAGAGTGCAGATCTATATTATGTTTAACCATTTCTTACTCATTTCAGTAAAACCTACAGTAAATTAATATTAAGGTTTATTAATTTATATAATAATCAAAATTAATAATTAATACAGACTCTTTGTTATTAAGTTTCTAATTATCTGGATGTTAATACATAATCATTATTCTTAAAATAACTTACTTGGGTTTGGCTGCAGTACAGCTTCTGTTCGTCCTACAATCTTTTCCGTCCATGATTTCGTCCTATCGGCACGCTGCTGAAGGTTCTCAAAGTGTGCATCTAACTCAGTCTTCTCAGCACTGCCAAGTTTTTCTTCAGTGTACTATAAAAAAAAAAACAAAGACTAAATTTTTACAGTATATGGTAAAAAAAAGCAGTTACGATTTGGGCTCTCAACCTTAAAGGTCGGAAGTTCAAATCCCTGCTGTCCACTTTTAATTTACTGTATCTAATACAGGATGTGAGATTATGTACCCAGTACGATGCAAACAAATGTTTTTATGATTAATGTTTAGTCTATGTTGAATGTGATTGAAGTACTTCCCCAGGGTACTAAGGAGGTACTGTAGTAATTCTTTATTATAATCAATTATTTAAATCCATTCCTATATACTGTATCATCAATATATCATTCTGCATGTGTATACAAGATGAATGATTAAATTTGTCAATGTTTTCCGCAGATTAGATTAATTCTTGGAAGTGTTTTGACACTTGTTATATTAAGCACTTATAAATTTACATATTTATTAAATTATTAATAATTACAGAGTTTCATCATATGAATCATTCCTCTACTTTCAATATCTTACACTCTATGGGTGATAAAATTACCATAATCATGTGTTTTTTGTTTGTATTATGTTATTGATAGAATAACTGTCTTCAACCATATGTACTGTAGGAAAGCAGTCAACATTATTTTGCAGATTAAAGCACAAATTCTGAAGCTATGTACAATTGAACGTATTGTATGGATGTGTCCATACATTGATTGTACTATGGAGGTTTTCCGTATATTTTTTCCTTTCATACAGTAAATGTATCTCAAGTTGATTAATATTAATTTTCCAAAAAACCTGGTATACAAAACAAAATGGCTGTCAGATATGCAAAAGTGTGATCGTCAAACCATGCCATGGCTGGATCAGTGGCACGAAGGTATACTTTGTCTTATACTTCCAACTTGTACTATTTCAAGCAAAACCAAAGAATGGGGTTTATTTCAAATACCGAATTAGGAAGTCAAATGTTTATTTTAGATTTTTCTGTACTAAGTAAAAATATCTGGGCAAAATGTCATAGTCTGGATTCCATAAAGTTTTCAATTAAAAAAAAAATTAAGTAAAAAATTGTCCACGCCAATTATTAGAGCAATATAACACCCTTAAACTGTCTTAGTTAATCATTTTTATAGGATAGTTGAAATAAATGGTCTGTAATCAGTGAGGTTAATTGGCATTTTAATTGGTATACTGTATTACCATTTTAATTTGAAGTCTTGACTACTCTAATGGAGAGTGCATGATATAGTTCACAGTATTTGGATCAGCCAATTTTAAAATGTTGATGATTCCTTATGATTTTGATTTTTAGATTACATCAATACATTCACTGTACTGTGTATTCTGGTACAGTAAGTACAGTTAAAAACAAAGTTTCTCATTGAAAAATGGTAGAGGCCTTTTTTGGTAATCATCATTCCAAATGAAGATGTTACACCTTAGTATAAACCATCCAAAACAGACCAAAGCACAGACAGGGAAATTTAATCATTATTTGTAATTAGGTAATTCAAGTAACTATTAGGCAAGACTTTTTTATACCTTGTTTTAGCAAATCTGCTGCCTGCCAATGATGATGATTTCCAATAAAAAAAATAAAAAAAATGAAATCTTATTTTTGGCCATTTAGTGCACCCACCGCCATGTAAATATTTTCTTTATTTTATTGCACCTGTCGCCGACTTGAAATCTCTAACAATAAGATGTTATATTTCTTCCTAATTATAAATATTTAAAGCATTTAACTACTGTATCCCATTACAACACTGTTTACATTCACCAATAAAAATTTTTTTTTTTTCTCCTCTGTCTTTTGGCAATTGGAAAACATTTTTTTTTTCTGCCGTCCTCTGATGATCTTTAAAAAAAATAAGTTTGCAAATCATGGTATAAAATAAGTCTCGCCTTAATGATTGCATGTTGCAAAACAAATTTTTTAAACTAAATTGGTAACTGATTGGTCAAGATCATGATTCTTGAATGATTAAATATATTTATTACCAATTGAAACCAAGTTTCAATAATTATTTAAAAATGGAAATGAATAAATTATGTAATTTATTACAGTATAAATAATCAGCAACACTTACAACAAAAATAATGATATGAAATGGAACAATTGTAAGAACTATCAAATCAAGATTAAAAATGTCAAACAAAAAATACCTACAAAAATTACATGAGTTACACTACGCCTCATGACAAACTAAGTTGATGCTGTACTGTAAATTGCAAAGAATTTTGATTGACAATTCAAATAATTAATGAATTAATTGATGGGCTTGCTGAACTTCCATGCAATTTGTGTAGTACTGTACGTAGGCTGTAGATCTCCTCAGGAGTAAAATGCTCTGCAGATGTTCATCCTTGTTTCCTAACAACCATTTACCTCAGTTCTAAAAAAAGAACTTCTTTAATGCACCATAATGAGAGTAAAGCCATTTACTTCACATTTAATAGCCAATCATTTATATCTTGTCATTTTAGTTCTTTTCAAGAATTGTATCTAATTCTTTTTCACCTTTTAACTTGAATAACAAATAGGTTACATTTTCCAGGAATATTTATATATGTTTCAGACAAGCATAGACCCTGTCGTCCGTCGGAAGCCATTTTAAGCTGTAGGACTAAACTTATTAAATTGCTGATCTGTGAAGAGTTATTTTACTTAGACTGAGCCATAGTTTTTAAAATTTAACTGTACTGTTGCACCATGTTTATTTTTCTACCAGAGCTAGTATCTGTCTGAAGTCTTTCCTGTCATACTGCAATACTCAAACTTAAAACTGTTGAATATTTCCTGTTCAACGACAAGTACACAATTTACAATGCATAACCCAACTGAGTGAGTGCTGTAAATCTTCTTTTTTTTTATTACACATAATGAGGGCGATTTATTCTTCCAGTAACTTGTGGGGTGGGTAGACAGCTGATCATATGGTACCCTTGATACTGTATGCTCTATTTAATACAGTCTATTTATTAGACTTGGTGAGTGGAGATTTGATTACCTGGGCTCTGATTCAAGATTCATGATACTTTCTTGCATAGTGGAAGGCTTCTTTATTGCATTTGGGAACAACTTAAATTTTGAAGATCTACAGTATAATGTATGTCACTGAGAACATATAACACCATGTGGCAATTTTTCACTAAGCAATGCTATACACAAACAGTTGAAATGGGTGAGTGTTTCCACATTTAATCCGTAGTATCTCCATTCTTGGGTTTTTCACTGAAATAAATCTTTTTTATATATTCAAGGTTTTTCAATGTTAGGTCAATATGATTTTTATTTACAATGCTATAATCGGGTTCCTAGTCCCCCCGCGACTGACAGGGCTACATATCTCGGAAATTGGCACACAGTCATACAGTACACAAACCCATGCAAGCAAAAATCTCCGGAAGCTAACCAATTATAATGTCATAATTAATAATAATAATTTTATTATTAATTATAATGTCATAATTAATAATAAAATTAATGTACATCAGCCAATCAACACAACACAGAGTTTGTTATTAAAGTAACAACTCCCTAATTGAACACAGGCATAAATGGGTCAAAGATCAGATAGTACTGTACTGATCTTTCCCGTATTAAATTATTATATTCTAGGCTTTGTAATTAATGGGAGTATGAATATGAATGAAAAAAAACCCAAGATAATATTATGGCACAGAATTAATGATGAACTTCATTATTCATCCTGTGACTGCAGTGACATAATCAATCAGCCATAAGGAAAGGAAGCATGGAGTTAGTCTAAGATGTGATACAAACTGCTGACTAGGGATCTGCATCACAATCACATGACAATGCCACATACAGTGTGTGTTGATAAAACTCATTTCCTTATTTAAATGAATTTTGTTTTTGATTTTGATCTTGTGAGCCTTACTGTATAACATATAGCTACTGTTTACTATACTATTACTATAGTGTGCTAAGTATTTGTATGTGACATTGTAAAAAAAAACAAATTATAACATAATTACAGTGTATTTACATGGCTTTCTACTGTAGTAATTAACACACAACACGGTATTTCAACATAAAACTTGGTAAGTATGGACAGAGTTTTATATGTAATAACAATGCCAGATGCACATTGTGACTACCAATAATTGGATTGATAATTAATAAATTGTGACTGAATTTCAACACTAGTACTGTAGAATTTCATACTTAATACTGTGTAATAAATATTCCACAAAAAATACACCAAATCCCTGTGAACAACTCTCTCAAGTTCTGTTTCCATGTTGACAGCCATCTCTACTTGATACGGCACTTGTAAATTGCAAAATAAATTGACTATGTACAATGAATCTTTGTTTATGTTAGTTAATGTTCCAGATTCATTGTACATACCAGGAGTTTAAAACATGATGTCCCTACTGGTAGATGTCACATGATTATTAGGTGTTTATTTCACAAATTAGCATAACCATCCAATACCTTATTGTTCCATAGACATATTACGGATAGTTTGTTTTTGTTTAGAATCATCCTAAGGTAGTTTGATTTACAATAATTATGATGTTTGTATAGCTAGCTTGGTGGGTTTTTTCCAAGCTGTGTTTATGGCAGGTGAATCTCTGCTGTTTTGAGGCTGAATATATATATTTTTTTTATTTACACTTCAAAATAAATTTGTCTGAAAAGTCTGAAGTCTGAAAAATAAAGATTTATTTAGATTGTATAGTTATTTAGATTGTTAATAGGTTGGTTTTACCATGGTTTTACGATAGACCTAAAAATAAAAATGCAAACATATCCTTGGCAATTAAACGATTAAATAATACCATTCTTTGCAATCTCTCTATGGCAGCAAATCAATTGCATTTCTCAGTAAAACATCAATGGATGACATTGGTGGAGTTCTCTAGATGTTTACATTTTAAATATGAACAACTGACTGACTTTTTTGTGGCCCACAAAAATAAATTAAAAACCCGCACTGAAACATCATAGCTTGGCCTTGGGGGCGCTAATACGGTTTTGCATCCAGTCCTAAAATCATTTACTAAATTATTTAACACTTAAATTATTCAATACTAATACATTCCTTGATGATTTTACTTTACTATAATCCACTTATAATCCAACAATTATGGTTTCTAATTAAGTTAATTAACCATTAATTAGAACGGTTAACAGTTTCCAGCAATCCTATGCAGTGAAATAATTGGTCAAAAAAATTACAATTGGGCACAAATTATATGACAGACCCTGGAAACCTGCAGTCATCGACTGTGCTGGGTGGTACTACGGTGGGATTATGACCGGTTGAGCCGCCGACAAGTTGAGCCGCCGGTCATTTCTATGGAACACCAAGCGCGTCTCTCAGTGAATGTAGTGCGTTAATTGCGGTGTATTTCAATTAACTTATTCGTTCTTGGTACTGTTGTTTGGGATGTATTTCATTCAGTTTATTTACTCAATTATTTCAATTTATTTAATACTCGACTTTTGCACTGATTTATTAAATATTTTTGGGACGTATTTCAATTTATTTACATGTTCTTTCTATCGTTTTAATTTAAATTTTGTGAGTATTTGCTCAGTCGGCTTGCCAGATAGTAAAAAAAAAAACTCCATACATTCTTATCATTTATTATATAAGTTCAAAAAATAGTACAAAAATAAAAATATATAAATTACAAAACCATAGTAAATACTGTATAATAACATAGGCCTAACACATTTAAATTTATTGTTTATAGTCATCTGTCTAATTCAGTCGGCTTGCTAGATAGTAAAAAAACAAAAACTCCATACATTCTTAATATCATTATTATATATAAGTTTTAAAAATAGTACAAAAATAAAAATATATAAATTACAAAACCATAGTAAATACTGTATAATAACATAGGCCTAACACATTTAAATTTATTGTTTATAATCATCTGTCTAATTCAGTTGGCTTGCCAGATAGTAAAACACAAAAACTCCATACATTCTTATCATTATTATATATAAGTTTTACAAATAGTTTTCACAGAGAGACGCCCTGGGCGTTCCATAGAAATTGCCGGCGGCTCAACTTGTCGGCGGCTCAACCGGTCATATCCCACTCCTCCCCTACGGTGGACCTGAGTTGATTGTGTTACTATCGATATACCGTCCCAATTATTGGTTATTTAAATTAATTATAAACCATAATTATGAAATAAGTAGCTTATATGAAAGTCAAATCATCAAAGAACATGTTAGTGTAGATTAATTGTAAGTTTTAAATAATTTGGTAACCGGTTTCAGGTGCTAAACCGTATTAGCGGTATTAGCGCCCTGCCTGAATTACACTTCTTCCGCCCTTCAACCCATTTTTATCTCCACCCTTGCTCTACACTCACTGACATTCAATCAGTTTCTTCATGTATATTATTGTGTAAATAAATATACTGTGTCAGATTAAGATCAATTTAGGCCTAGGCCTGGCTACCCCTTATTACAGGCGTAGGCTAGGCCTAGCCCTAGCCTAGCTAGTCGCCCTATATAGGCCTAGGCCTCTAGGTCCTAGAACTAGGCTATTCCTGCACTCACTGCGGCAGTAGCCACGGTAGTTACTTACTGAACACTTGGAAGAAGGCCTATCAGTTTCAGGGTAGGCCAAGCCTGACGCATGGGCCTAGCTAGCACGAAAATTGACTAAGCCTGGATCCGGCAAAGTTTAGGGTCTGCTGATGGTCGAATGACAACCCATAGGCAGGGCCTAGCCGTCAGTTTTGAACATCGGTGTATTTTCTACTCGTCCAATTTAATAAAAAATAATTAAAGAACTGAATCTTAAGGATATATTATAAGATAGTCTAACCTGTTTTGCACGGGTGAAGAAAGTCCCGGCTTGCCCAGCTATTTTCTTCATGTTTTCATTGACTTTTTCCATTTTGATCGAAAATATTGATCACACGTATCCACTATTCAATACTTCGCGAATGGAAGTTCAATGAAAGACAGTTAGTTTCCGGATTCTTGAATAGGGGGCGGGTGTCAAGTATTCTTATATTATTTAAAAAAAAAAACGTTAAGTATACAGTAGTCTTGATGATATAAAATACAATAAAACCTGAATTCAACATTTGTTTCACTATTTTGTGTAGTTAATTAACTTATTAACTTTTAATTGAATAAGAAAATAAGAACAAAATGTTCTCGTAAATTAACAGATGTATAGGTATATTTTACCATTAAGAAGTATCATTGAAACCATGGAACAGTGTAATTTCACTGTTCCCTGGTGAAAACCGATTTTTTTAAATTAAAATAAAAGTCTAGTGTATATTTTTACACTCTCTCTAGTCCATTTACCGAATTAGTTGATGCGATGGCACAAACTGTAGCGATCAACTTATCCACCTATATTTTGCTTTCAAGCAGTTTTAACATTGTTGTTGTCACGTTAGCACATTTACTAGTCATGTTTGAATTGGCTAGGACAGACACTTCAAAGTGATGGCTTTCTTTCCTAGTTTACCACATTTTCATGGGTTAATTTCCACGCTTTCTACTTTTTTCATTATTATTTCCAATTTTCGATAATTAAAGAACAAATAAAAAACAAAGCTTCTCAGGACAGTAATACTTTTGATATATACAGGCTGTTACAGGCGGAAGGATAGCGAATTGGAATAGGTAGGCCTACATCTTCTATTTCATGTCATCTTGGATTTTTATATTTGTAATTTATTATTGCAATAAAAACTGACTGAAAATCGTTACCATTCATCATCATCATCATCTTCATTATTGTTAATTCATCAACACCATTCTCAACACCACCACCATCATAATCATCATCGTCGTCGTCGTTCATCATCATCATCATAACATCGACTTCAATAATAGTAAATATTATTGATATATCAATAATAATAATAATAATCGTTATAAAAATAAGAATAATAATGATAATAATAATAATGACAACAATAAAAATTATAATAATAAAAATAATAATAATAATAATAATAATAAATAAATAAATATAACAATCACGTTACATCACGTTATTATTAAGTTTCAGCATCGTAATTCATCGTCATGTTATTCTACTACATTAACATCTGTGAATAACCATTGGATTCCCAACTACCGGTGTACGCTCTAAAGTCTAAACATACGATGACCAATGCATATTAGACCAAATGTAGAAATGATATTCATACAAAATAATTGTAATGATCTAATTTTATAGCCCCATTTGTACAGAAAACGCTTTTGTAATATTATTTACGCTGAAGGCCGTTTTTTATTAACAAATTGCACTCAAATTCATTTGCAGTTTGCTGAATTTCATGGAAATCGACGCAATAATAATACCAATAACCTATTAAAATCAAAAGGAACGACAATTTGCAGCGAGTAAACAAATGCAAATCCGTTATTTTGCTGTATAGGCCTGTTTGTTAGTATTCAACATACCGTGATTCAGTACATGGATACTTAAAGAGGCCTCCGAATACCGACACAAAAGCGTAATAATTTTCATTCATATTAGCTAAAGGCCTATACCATAATTCGTATTATATAGGTTTTTGTATAAGAATACCTCTTTGGTTTGAACATAATAATATGACATATAACATATAATATTAATATTTACAAAGAAAATAAAAGACCTAATGCATAGGAAGGGGTTTTAGAGATTACAGACGTACGTTTTGTTCCATGCATTTATTAACTTACGATACTTTTTTTTTTAATTGTGAGCTGTCGTGACAAATTGAGTCCATATTGATATATTTAGATAGATGACGGTTTAAGCTTTATTTAGGTTCTGGTTCGTAGGTGAACACAACCGGAGTAATATGATAATAATATAAGATTATTATTTTTAAGTTAACATGTCTAAAAACATACTTTATAGTAACATGATTTTTATTAATTTCATTATTACAATGCATGTGGAATTGTCATTGATAATTACCATTGAACTGTACACAGTCACTGGGTTTTGCATAGCTTAAAAGTAAGTATTTCTGAGAATATTGCCAATGAAATAAATTTAATTGCCATGTATGAAATGATGACGGGGCAAGCGTTCTGATTACCCTATGCCAGATTTAAACTCTTTAAATAATCGTTTAGTGTCGACCAAGCCTTATGATTATATCTAATGTATATAACGGCTGATTAAACCGAGCATTAAAACAGGATTGTAATCGATGCCTACCTGCCTGGTTCGGCTGAGAAAGGTTCCGGCATCCGTCGCAAGTCCACGTAGAGCATCCATGATATTTTTTACCACGAAGAGACAGGAGGCTGGCTCAGAATGTTAATATCTCTCTACAGTCGGAATTATATTGTTATGAGAATAACGGCGCTGTTTTAATTGTTGCTGCTAATTCGACGCCGTGGGAGGATCGATATTGTCCGGTACTGACGTTCCAACTTCGTGAAAGAGTGTTACGGTAATGGAGCGATAATGTACCGTCATACCAGTATATAATTTTCAATCGATGCATTAATAATCCGACAACAATAAAAAACAAGGAAGTTATTTACTTTCGTACAGAGTGTATCTAGCGAAACAGAGCAGATGATATGCAGACTAGGAAGGATTTATGTTCGGTTGTAATATATGAGAGAATTTGCTGGAGGTCAAGACCACATGAACTCTACAAGTTAATTAGTATTATGAGGGCATTTTACTTTCATCAATATCAACATGCAAACATTAATCAACAAAAATATTAAGATAAACTTCAATTTGTTGAAATTAATGTATTCGGATCCAGGAATTATAGAGGGGGCCGAGGAGGTACTTTTACAGATGGACCGGGATAGCCTACACCCCACCATGGTTAGGGGTGAGGTAAGAATATTTGTGATTAATGGCACCTCTAGATGGCCAGAAATTGCACTCTCAGACTTAAAATTTGAATATAATTTTCTTTATATCTCCATTTTTTAAATTTTGAATTTTGAATCCGCCACTGTTCGTTATAAAAAGTTAAATAACCTTTCTAACCATATTTTAATTACGCTTGTACCTTTTTATAAGACCTATTTTTGAATCTTATATAATGGTAATATTAATTAGGCTGTCAATTGTAACAAAGTACACACATCTCATTAAGCCTGCTCTGTCTTATCCTATCGAGTTTCATCGCCTGAGATCCGTGATACATTAGCATATGTACGGTAACATCACTGCAGGTATTTGCCACAAAGCATTTGATAGAGACACAGGGAGGTTGAAATCGTGTATATAATCCCAATAATTTAAACCCATAACCCTAAAGGATGGCTTTCTCGAAACTGCAATTCCACCTTGGTTCAGTGAGGCCCTTACATATAAATATATAGATATATAAAACATAATACTGTTAGCCATATATAAATAAATTTGTATATATGTATTATGTAAATATTTAAATATATAAGTATGTAGTTAAATGTATAAACAACTGAACAAACGAATGGATGACTGGCGAATAAATAAATGTTTTATTTCCATACAATCGCTACACTGTCGCTAGTGTTTTCAGTGCAATCGTTCCATAGAATCGGGAACGCTCTTTTTTCAACAGACCAATCAGGAGTCAGAGATATCGTGTAGCGATTTTTATGGAAACCAATCTGAAACCAAGCTTTAATGTTGGTTAAGTTGGGCCACCGCCATAATAATGGTTATCATGATTATGACACCTGTAGATCATTATAACTCTGACTGACGGCTGGTGATGTGATAGTGTGTGATTCTTTTTGCTGTTTTCCCACCCATTCCCCCATCCCTCACCCATCAGCCTGGTTTCCTTGAAATCGCTACACTGTCGCTATCAGTGTTTTTAGTGCAATCGTTGTACCAACGCAATCGCGAAGGCTCCCCGATTCGACTGACCAATCAGCATCACCAAAAGTGTAGCGATTGTATGGAAACCAAGCTTTAGGAATATTTGCTAGAGTAGAAAAGACCATAACTGTAAGGAAAATCTGTGGTCTTTTTTCCCTTAAAATATGTTAAGCGTCATGCATGTTTGCACACAGCAAACGTATAACCAGCTGTGGCAAGTCACACACAGATTTCCATTGATACTTGGATTTCTACAGGATTTTCTAAGTGCGTTGTGTGTATAAAAGTAAACAAAAAAAAGAATAAAGGTGGGAATGGCGAGGAACACAATGTTTTTTTTATTTGGCCTTAGCAGGCAAATAATATTTTTAACAATAATCTATGACTCATCACTTGGATAATAAAAATACATGATAATTATATTGTATTCAAGGTCACAGTTATTTAATATTGTATTTTTATAGCATTATATAGATTCTGTTTTTAAAAAGGTGTTATAATTAACTTATGGATATTGTAATAATACATAGATCCGATGTACTATACAAAATATATATTTTGTTTATATTTCTTTTTTGTATAATTATATTAATTTGTTTTATATAATATTTAAACTTGATAATACTGAATGTGTAATAGCTTGGTCTAGAATTCCTGAGCTCAAGGGGCTTTGTCACCTCACCCCACACCCCACTTGGCTCTTGGACACCATTATGGCACAAGCCAGTATGCTAGGAATGTGAAATTGATACTGACATTGTTTAAATTTCTAAACCTCAAAAAGTATAGTCCTAGATTATTTGTATACAGGTACTAATGGTCTATAATACTTGCAATTTTCCCCTGATAAATTGTACAGTAATAACTACAACTGGATCTACAATTTTGTGGCAAATTACTCACTGAGGCAGATGCAGGGGGGTGCAGACGGTGCAATAGCACCCCCTAAATAGTATTAAGAAAATAATTGTATTATATTGTTGATATGAATTATTGGTAAGTTTTAAGATATGAGAGTACAATTTACCAGCACCCAGAGAGGTCCATATTCTCAAAATTTTCGCACCTCAACAACAACCATGTTGGGGCTGAGGTGGTCTGGACTCTCACACACCCCTTACCGCCAGATCTTGCAAACGCCTCAGACTCGGGAAGTGTACATCCAGCAGGTCTTGAACCTGCAACGTCTTCCTATCAAGGCTTCATTAACATCGTAGATAGATTTGCATAATGCCCAAATCAAATAATTAGCATAATGGAAATATATGAACACTTAACTCTAGGATGCTTATGATTTACCAGTTTTGAGTCACTCACCCCCATCATACTCTCAGTTTGGTCCAGAAAGTCTCTTAACTATCAAAACTTATGTGGTGTATATCCTTCAGCTTAACTATAACTTACATTAACTTTTATTGCTGATAAAAAAATTTAATTATAGCACATTAAATTTTTGGTTTAATCATTCATGATACAAAATGTGAACAAACTTCAGTTAAAAACACCATTAAATTCATTTTATTAAAATATTTCAATTAAAATTATATAAAAAAAACAAAGAATTTTATTTTTTCAGAAGAAATCAATTATTGCAATTATCATATTCATTAGAATTTAAAAATAGCATCTAGATACAATTAAGTACTTCTTTTGCTGCTCGTAATCCAACTTGAACAGCGCCTTCTATAGTGTTGTACCATTCCATCGCTGTGTGTCTATCAGCCCAATGAATGCTGTGAAAATATTTAAAGAAAAAAATATAATCTCACCAATAAATTTGACATCATCATCGCTATCATGATTGTCTTGTACCCCTTTTACACTGAAAGCAAAATTCCGAACATAACCCGAGATTTTCCAATACCCGGGTTAAAATCTCCCGAGTTGTGGTTAGTGTAAACGTCAAAAAGTCCTACTTGGGATGCCAAACATTCCGGGAGGGACATGCGGGACACATGCAGCGTAGGACAACCCGGGTGCATTCCGGAGTCGCCAGTGTAAACAGCACCGAATTTGATTCCGGAATTAGGCCTTACCTGGCGCCTACAGCAGCTGTGGTCAGGTAGGCCTAAAGTTTGCCTACAACAGGCTAGGCCTAGACACTTGTCAAATTGAACCCTCTACGCTCCGGTATAGACTTGATATCAAAACTGCTGATTTAATTTGCATAATTTAAAAACAATCTGCAGGTACATTGCTTCATAATTGACAATAATTGTCAACTGAGGGCGGTATTTGAACCCGAGTTTGTTGCCCGGACTTTTTATTTCGATTTAAATGGGAAATGCACCCGGGATTACTCCAGAAGTAACCCAGGTCGATTCTGCCTTTGGCAGTGTAAAAGGGGTATTGGTTATCATGATCACCATATAAATCATCATACATAAAATATCCATCACATGAAAACGATTATGATAATGACAATGATGAAGATGATAATGAAGATGATAATTAAGATCATGACGAAGATTATGATGATGAAAATGATAGTGGTGGCTCCAAAATTCTGCAGACAGGGGGGTACAACAATGTGAAGGGGGAACTGAACCAAGGGGCCATCTAAAGTCACTAGTCAGGGTCTTGAAATAAAACTCCTGGTGGTGGTGGTGGGTCAGGAAGAGACTTTATGCTTTAGGGTGGTAAAAAATTAGACCATAATATTAGGAATACTGATCACAATAATAACATTGATTGGAGGATGGTCATAATAATAATAATTATCATGATGATGAATGCAAGTATGGATAATAATGTTGAAATTATACATGAAAATCAACATGACAATAACCATTGGATTACCTATGGAAGGGTTTCCTCCTGTCAGCCAATGATGATGCAGTAAGTAACTTGTCTCCATACTTCCATGGTTCACCCCAAGTCTAAAATAAAAAAGATCAAAATATTAAAATGAGATCAAAATCACTCATTGTCAAAGACAGTGAATTTCAAACACGATTTAAATTATCATTATTTTTTATTGAAACAAATAAAGCTTGTTTAAATTATCATATTCATGATGATGATGACTATTATTACGTTATTGTTAAATCTTCATCGTCACCATCGTCATCATTCTTGTTAGCATTATTATCATTATCATAATTGTGGTATATTGAGGGAAGTATTGCCACGCACTTGGTATGTGCAGTGCAGTTGGCCATGTTACGCATGTCTGAATAATGTGTTGTTTGTTGAATTAACTTTAATGGTGTGTCAGCCACTTGTGTACAGGTACAGTAGATGAAGAAGTTCATCAGAGAACAAAAAAATACAGCAATTATTATTATCATCATCATTGTTATTATCATTATTACATTATTATCATCATTGTTATATTCAAGTTCTGTTTATTAATTCTAATTCAGAGAATTTCCTTACATGATCAGCATAATCAAGAACCTCAACATTTTCCATTTTGAAGTACTTTGCAAGAAGTTTCAGAATCTCAGACTTTCGTTCTTCAACCTGCATAAATAATTGGCAATCATAATAACTTTGTTGGATCAACAATAATAATATGAATAATATTAAAATAGTTATTCTGGATTTGTATAGTTTTAACATAGGTAAATGAGTGAATACTTACAGTTTTGTCCCTCAATGATAGAGGGTTCAAAATTCCAGACAACGCAGGATTATCAACAGTCGTGGCATCGAATATGGCAGTGGCAAACCAATCCCCATCTCCAGTGAGGTATTGGATCGTCCCAGACATACTCAGCACCTCTCCACAATATCCGTTATCCTGCCAGAATGACTGACAGGGGGAAAAAAAAGAATCAGACATTATTATAGCTAACATGCTTTGCAATTATGACAATAAAACAATGATGAATATTACAGCTAGATTTCATACCTTTGAAAATGTCATAACAAATGAAATTCCATAAGTGATGGGTAACAATGGAGGAAACACAGGAGCTGATGGTAAGAACTCAATCATATCTAAAAAATGGGAAAAAAAATATACCAACAATCAAAAGTAACTGATAACAAACTGAAATATGCCTAACAATTTATAAAATTCTGATATTATACATACACACTGTACTCCATGCAAGCGAGATGTCAATAAAGACAAAAACAGATGACAACAAACTAATAACTTATTTATACAAACTGGTAACAAAAATGATGCTAATGATAACAATAGTATTATAATTTTAATTTGTTTAAAAGTTTGGGCCTTGACAGATAACAATTCATTACCAAATAATGATTAAAATATATTCATCTGGATTATATAGATTTAAGTATGTGCAGGGGTGGATCAAGCGGGGAGGCCATAAGGGCCCGTCCCCCCCATCACTCCACCCCCAACGCCTATGCGCTCTTGTGCAGCGTTCTGCTGGGCCACCAACCCTTAGGGGCTCCTTCAGTGCATCTATCCATAAGGTCCTAGTTATAGCACCCTGATCCAGGACCCCTCTACATTTGTAAAAATCTTTTAAAGAATGATGGAGATAAAATATTCAAATTTTAAGTCTGAATGAGTGGGGTGTCATAGTCATAATTTGCTTTGCGACTCCCAGTATAGAATAGACTATACAGTAGGTCCTTGATTAGACCATACTGTAGCAATGCCCATGAGGGGAGGGGTGTCTAAGGGAGGGGGAACATAGCTCCCGTCGGAGAAATTTCAATAATTTTGGACAAATTTTTTTGGGGTGAAGGGTTTAATTACCTCTTCCTTGAGTTACAATAACCTTCTTTGCTGTGTATGTTTCACCTGTCATTACCTCCACAGTGACAAGACCTTCACCTCCCTCGTGTGTATGCTTAATAGACATAACCTTTGAGTTGAATACAATGTTTGTTTCTCCTATAGCCTCTACCAGTGCACTCACCAATTTCCCAGCACCTCCCTGAAAATAAGAAAATTATTCAACTTAATTTTTTATGAAAATTAATCTAAAGCCAACTTTAAACGAAATAAAAGTATAACACCATCAGTGGCATGTCAGTACAGGCAACAGGATATTCCCAACGAGGAGACATGCAATGCAGCGGCGTAACAAACTGAGAACTAAGGCCCCTAGCTGGCTAATGTCTGTATGGATCCACCCCCCCCCCTCCCAAACCAGGGTATGGAGAGAGGTGTTGTGTGTTTCCGAAGTTTTAAGGGCATATTTTGATGTCTTTTGACACGTTCTGCTAAGGAGCCCCATTTGGCAAATTTGGATGCATGATCGTGGCAGAAAAAAAAAATTAACTGATTACTGAAATATCCCAGGGCCCATTAAGGTCCTTGACCCCTGGTCTTAGTCAGTGAGTTCACAGTTTTTACAGTACTTGAGACACATGAGCAAAGGGGAGTAATTTGAGTAACAATAAACAAATACCTTGATTCTGTGAAGACCATCTTTGGAAGAGCCCAATAATCCTTCCCATCCCTTGTTTGCATGCAACATATACTCATAGTACAGCACAGATATATTCTTAGGGTTAACACTTAGAACGGATCCAGCAAGGGTATCGGCCATGTCCTTGGCAGCTAAATTTGTAGAGAAAATGTTAGAAGAATGAGTATTTTGTATGTTTTTAGTCTATATGCCAACAAACCTAAGGAATTTATTAAAAAGATAATGTATAATTATGATGATTATACATTATACATTATCATTATAATTATGATGATAATAATGATGATGATGATGATAATGATGCACCATTTTGGCAACAAGAGCCCATGTCATGCAAATCCTGATGTCATCACTCACAAAGTGTTTTGGGGATGGGGTCCATCTAACAATTTATACAAGCCTTACACTGTGTCCAAAGTGTCTTCACTTTGAGTTCCTCAACACTTGTGTTATCTTGCTCAACCGCCTTAGCACCCTCACATGGATTGGTCATGTTAATCTTCTTTGAAGATCCCTCAAGCTAATGAAAAATGGAAGTATTAAATTTAGTTAGTTTTTGATGAACATTCTATTTTAATATTCTATATTAAATTTTATATTCCCCTTTTCACTGCAACCCTACAATGAGGAAGGTTACAGTACATATAATAAATTTGTGAATAAATTGGTATTTTTTACCATTTTTGTGTCCTAGAATTTATGTCATATATAATAAAGTATTTATATTATTGGTCCATAAACAGTATAAATATTCATATCAGACACAAATATAAATTGAATATTTTAAATTGAATAATTATTACCACATTCCTGATAGCTAACACTAAACACCTAGCTATTTACTGTATTTGCATACAGTTGATGAAATAGTGACTTTGTACTATAGACAGTAGACACAATAAATAATGATTTGTGTCTATCTGCATAAAACCTAATTTATTTTCTATAAAAACATAACAACAGTGATACTAATTGTTGTAGTTACAAAAATTAAATTAATAAATGTTTTCATACCTTGGACATGTATCTGTGAAGATCTAGTAGTGAAGACCAAGGTAAAGGCGGAATTGACCCAGAATATGACTTAATAGTACCATCTCCCAATTGTAGAATGCGTTTGCCTTTTGATGGTGGTAGCGTCTCAAGTTTAAACTCACTTAATAATGACATCAAACATTTTTGTGACCTAGAAAGTACAGTAAAAAAAATCTGTTAAATCATTGGTTTCAAAATCCCCAAATGTAAAGTCCAAAGTCTCTCTATTATTTTTCAGACTGTAAATAAATATTGTGTATTTGTGGGTCAGTATTCTTGGCCTTGTTTTGATTGAGAACATTCTCAAATATCGCAATCCCATTATAATTGTGGAAAAACCTATTTCATATCTGATTCTGAAATTACTTCTTGTAAATGTATACATTATCATCGTTATCTCTCCAATCCTATCATATTTTTATTCTGAATTTTTTTTATTTTATTTCTAGGAAACCAACATTTTAGAAACCTTTGAATAAATGATGCACCAATATCCCAGGTATCTGCACCGGAAGCACCTTGAAGCTGTAAAGACCGGATCTGCCCACCTGCATGCTCTTGGAAAAAGAAGAATGAAAATTAAAATAACTAAACAAAAATTATCATTCTATTGAGTACTGATTTATGAAGCGTTCACCCACTGGCACCACCCCTGTTGAAGTTTAGCACAGTTTGCTGACCACAATGATAATCCAAAGGTCCCTGGTTTGATTTCAAAAACAATTGCAGTTAACATATTTTAATTAAATTTACTCAGTATAGTGTATATCTATTTAATTTTACCAAATAAAGGCAAGCATACTGAATTTGAGCCACCATCATGTGACTAGAGCAGGTGAGCTCAGGCTGGTATGGTGGATGGGGTTGTATCTTACCAGCAGCTTCCAGAAGTGTTACTTTAGCATCTGGTTTTTCCTTTAAAATATGATACACAGCAACTAAGCCAGCTATACCTGCACCAATAACCACCACATCAGCCATGTTGATTTCTAAAATTTAAAAAAATAGAGCCTAGAGTTTTCCTACATGCAGAGGATGCATTTTGTAAAGATTGGAAGATGAAATTCACTGTTGGCTTCTGTGTAAAGATTAAGAATATCTAAGAATGCAACAGATCGTTTTTAAGGACAATCCGTTCAGACTGCCACCAACAGTCGGCAGACAGCGTCGCGGCGTCTAGCGCTCACAGGGAGCAGAGTTGTATTCGCAGGGGTCCCAAGTTGGAAGAAGTCATTTCCGGGAGATCTGTGGTGCTGGGTTGAAGGGTGGAGGCGGGGGCAGGGAGAGACTCTAATAGATGGAGGGTCGACACCTCAGCTCCACATTGGTTGGAGGTGAGGCAAGAAAATCTGTGATTTAGGCACCTCTACATGGCCGGGAATGGCCCTCTCACTTAAATTTGAATAAAACTTTTTTCTACCCCATTTTTTCTTAATGATTTTAAAATCCCTCCCCCTCCCCACCCTAGTCATTTGGCTAATAAGCTTTCTTAACACATTTAATTTTATTTTGCTGCACATTGTGACATCCATTGGCACTGGCTTTCATGAGAAAATTTATAATAAAACAGTGAAAACATAAAAAAAAAATGAATTTGATGAGCATACTAATTTCCAGAAGATTCTTGCTTGCTTGCGGGAGTGCAGGAGGAGGCCATCCCCATTTCCAGGAGACTCCCACGAGTTCTGGGAGACTTGGGACCCCTGTCCATACACGTCAAGGCTGATGCATTTGCCGTGAGACTCCCGCATTTGCGGTCTGTTTCATGCTCTCACGCTTGAGGACCAAAATCTCATGCATAAATGTAGGTTAATATTGCCTATAATAAAAAATGTATGTATACTCTGTTGCTCTCTCGCATAAATGTAGGTTAATATTGCCTATAATAAAAAATGTATGTATACTCTGTTGCTCTCTCGCTAAATATCCATCATTCACAGTGCTTAAAATAGGATGGTTTTGTCGTTACACATTTTTTTTATTCATACAGTACGTAGATACTTATATCCTTTGCGAACATTTTAAAGAAAAAAATTATGTTGACTCGACCCTCTGTTAAGGATTTATGATTTTTTAAGTAACATGACCTCTGAAAATATGGTCGAAACGCCGTTATTTCTATTGGTTACGCTTCGCTGCTCAGCACTGTTTGTCATCGATCGAAGATGTCTACCGCAGCATGAAAAAGGAGTATAGAACGGTTATAAGGCCCCATAAAAAAAATTATTAGTTTATCATCCTACCAAGACCAAAAAACTGATGAGGGAGGGAGGTTTTACCGACTCAAAAGTTCAATCAACGGCCAACCATAGAGGGGGTATGATACATAATGTTCCCGATCTTTTCGCGATGTCGTACAGTATTAATTTTTGTGTTGAATATTAAAGACTTAAATTTAAATTTCGCATGTCTATATAGGCCTACGTCAAATGTGAATTCAAATAAACAACATATCCCACCACAATAGTCTTATGAGTTGTCATGACTTATTGTACTAGCTATAATATTGTCAGTCAAAGCGAACAGCAAAAATGGACCAGCCAAAAAACTGCGTACTCATAATAAGGCTATATTTGTAACATCAGAAAATAAAGGCGGGACGCAAGAATTGCTGGGGTCCAAGGGCGAAGGGCCCTTTTTTGGGTCTGGGGCCAAATCCTCTTTGGTGGATGAAAGGATAGAAATAAGAATCATTCTTAGGGGAAAAAAAGAAAAAAAAAAGTTCTTTTTTGGGAGGAAGGGTTGTGGGGGAAGGGGTGGCGCTTTCTTTTAAAAACAAATGATTGTTGTTTGAAATTCAGGTCTTATCTTTTCACAAGATCCTATCTAATAAAATATTAATCTAGCCTTTAAAATCTAATTTTTGTTAAGAGTATTAATATCAGCAAATGGATCACAACTTCAAATATTTTCTATTCTGAGATCGATCCACAGCTACAGGGAAATACTCATCAAATTCTAACCTTAACTTAAACACAAATATTTATGGAATACAGTAACGTCCGTCGACGATAGACCTGTCCTTCTATTCTTGTAAAGTCCTTATAACTATGGCAAACTCATGATTTTTTGTGCTTCTTTAGACCGAACGTAGACTTTAAAACAACGATCCATATTCAGTACGTAACAAAGATGATTTCATGTGCTTGCCCTAAATTGAGAAATAATTACCATGCAAACAAGTATGTTAATAAACTTGCAATTTGTAAAAAAATTGCCAAAACGGAGTTTTGGCAAAGTAATTTTCATGACTACTGCACATTGACAAATGCATTTTAATAACTACACTGTGCATCAAAAATCTTTATGATAGACATGTCGGTACATTTATATTTTGGTCTAAATATAGAAATTGGTCTAAATTTGAAAAAAAAAACGTATTTAAGCTATTAATACAGTCCTTTTGTCAGATTGATGCATATCCATCCTTTTTTGTATATTTTTGGAATGCAGTACTGTTATTGTTATACATTTTAATTAGATAAGCATAAAAGAAATATTATATATTAATATGACTTCTCTAGATAGGGAAACCTACTTTGTGGAAAACTAGAGTACCTAAACTGATAGAAAATATCATAATACCGCCATCAATAGACAATTTAAAGATTTCATCACTGATTGGCTAAGAGTTTGGCTACGCAGGATTGCATTGCAGAGAAGTATTGCTTATGTATTTTCGAAGGACGGTGAAGTTAGTCAACTAGAAATGGGGTAATAGAAATGGAAAGACTGATCACGGCTCATGACTGACTCTGTGGCTCTTATTAAAAGGCAGTGGTGAACATTTCCTATTATTAGACCTTGTCGTAATTCTACTCCTCCTGTTATTTTCTTAATTTTTGAGTCCGTGTAGAAGGTCGGCTGGCAAATGATCATGAAATATGGGATGGTAAGGAGAACGATGGAGCTCATATTGTTCTACTAATCAGTAAGATAATAACAATGACGTTGAATCATATAGATTTCAACTACTAAATAATGAATTAATTGGATAATAATAATAATAATGGTATTGATAATAATTAAGAGCACACTCAGAGAGTGTATACCTCCACCCACATCATAATTTCCCCCGCCCACCGTATCTTTTCCTTTTGAAGAAAAAAAAATAATGCAAACAGAATCTCAACCTCCACTGGGATTCGAAACCAGGACCTGTCACTTACGAAGCGAACGTCACAAGAACCTAGGTTTTTAGTTATGTATCCGGTAGCCATTGTTCATTGGACCATGACAAATCATTCTAGAAAGTTTCATTTCGATCCATTGATCAGTTTCTAAGATATTTACGTCTGGGACGTTTCGTTTTAAGGGTCTCCACACTCTGGAATGTCACCAAAATTTCATAGGCCTACATTTTATCCCTTGGCTATGATGAACCATTCAAGAGAGGTTTTCAGATGTATTTATCATTTGACGATGGGAAGTTCCCTTTAAATGGTCCTCATATGTACACTCTACTCCGGATCGTCACCAAAAGTTAATCATATCTTCCTTGGAATATGAAAAATCATTCTAGAAAGTTTTTGAGATACTTATGTCTAGGACGTTAGTATTCTAACGGACCCCTCAAATTCCCACCCGAATCTGGGATTGTCACCAATATTTAATAATGTCTTCCTTGTAATTTTGTCAATATTTCTAGAAAGTTTCATACAGATTATTCAGACACAGAAAAACCAACACATAAAGAAAATCGAATGAAAATATAACCTCCTTGAGGAGGTAATAATAATAATAATAATAATAATAATAATAATAATAATAATAATAATAATAATAATAATAATAATAATAATAGTAATAATAATAATAATAATAATAATAATAATAATAATAATAATAATAATAATAATAATAATAATAATTGAAACCCATTTATTTCAACAATTAACCTTCACAACGGAGTGGCCTGCTTTGTCTCTTGGGGCCGTATCTTGGTCGCAGACTCTGAGCACCCGGTCGCCTGTGGCAGGGCAAATGTGAAACCTGCTCCTTTGTTCGCGCCACCTAGGTGGGGACCGTGACTGCGCCAGGGCAGAGGCGGATATTTGACCCTTTGAGACCTAGCGTTGTTTTGCCACCACACCCTATTATATTGTAAATTCAACATCTTTACTATAATTTCTATAATTTTATGTAAAGCGCATAGAGGCACTCTGCAATATGCGCTATATAAATG